TGTTTTCCTGACAAAACACAGTGACTTTATTTGCTTGTGACTGGATATAGATGCCAATTCTTTTCATTTGCAGTTGGTGGAGGTATTAAGAAGTCTAGCAAGAAGTGAGGGGATGTATTGGAGATCTGACACCCAACGTCAACTCCACATCAACACCCGGTTCTCGCCACAGGGAGTGCAGGACGTATGTTCGAAAACTGCTTTTTGATGTCTTTTGGTTTAGGTTTTGTAGCCTAACTTGTAAATTGTATTTGTGTAACACACCAATAAAGATTTCCTTCCCAATAGTATCTGTTGCTGGTGAGGTTTTATGGCAGCAATCATTTGTGAAACATCTGTTATAAAACTAGTGTGTGACCCAGGTTACTCAGCATTGTTTTAAATGTTTTCTAATGCAAAATGCTACCTCTGCCCAGTGTGTGGCCAGTAACCCTCTCCCACCCCAAAACGCCATTTAACCTCAACCCTCCCAGAGTGCACAAAATTGGCAGCTGCAGCGGGTGGTCCAACCTTTTGGCTAAGTAGGGCTGGATTCCTTATTTGAGATCGGTCCACCCGCCGCATAACATTATTTTGTGTTTTTCTTCCAGAAACAAAATAACATTTACGCAGCACCTTTTTCATGTTGGAAGGACATCTCAAAGCACTTGACACTGATGGCTGGGCAACTGAGCTGGGGCTGGGAGCTGAGAGAGGTGGGATGGGGAAGGGAAAGAAGATTGAAAGCGTGGTCAAAGAGTTAGGTCTTGATACGCTTTGAAAGAAGAGAGGGTGGGAGGGTGCAAGTTGGAGGCACTCCAGGAATGGAACTCCAGTGAGCAGGAACTTCAGTGCAAAATGGCGATGGTGGTGCAGATGGGGTCAGGTGAGATGAAGCAAGCTGGTGTTTGCTCTGCAAAGGCAACAGCTGGTCGCAGAGGTGGGGAGGGGAAGTTGGAATGAATGACGTAGAGATGTTTATCATTGGGTGAAAAGGGGAGTTTTCGGCATGTTGCTCAGTGTCTGTGCTCCTTCCCCTGTCCCCCCCCACACAGCGACCAAGGAAAGCTCCGAGCGTCTGTCCTGACAGTGAACCACGAAACACCAGTCATTTAATTCTTTTTCTGCCTTTTTTTTTGCTTCTTGCCCCCATCTCTTTCAATTATTCTCTCTACCTACTCTCATGCACACTCTTCCCCTCTCACACACATACTCCCTCTTCCCCCCTCATTCTCCCCACCACCCCCCCACCCCAGCACTGTTTGCAACGGCAGGAGCCAGCAATTGCTAAGGACACAATGGGTAAGGAGATGGTGTTGCCTTCCTGACAGCAACAGTTGGTATAATTTGCACTCTCCGCGCGGCATCCCACTAACCGCCTGCCACTGCTCTGGGAGGACGTTCACCGGGGAGGGAGGGAGGGGGCGGAAGTTGGAATGTTGGAAATGGTCTCAGACTGGATAATAATAATACTTGCATTTGATATAACGCCTTATCGCGTCTTCGAGACGTTTCAAAGCTTCACAGAATATACTGTAAAGTGAATTGACTATATTTTGTGGGCAAACAGTCATGGATTGAGTGACCAAATTATTATTTTAGTTTTTTTGAAGGGATTATTACCCCTGGATCACCAATTGACTGACAACCAGGTTCCTACTTACTGCTCGATAAACAAGTGTGTGGAGTAAAGAAACTTGCCCAACATTTTGCCCTGCCCGGGTTTTGAACCCAGGTCCTCTCTCTTGCAAGGCGAGTGCTCTAACCGCTAAGCTACAGAACTCCACCACGGATGCAGCCCACGGGCTGCAAGTTGGACTACGCTGACGTACCACAAAGAGTCACTGTATTTTACAGCATATCCTCTGAAATGCTTTGAGAAGTCCTCGTGAAAGGCACTACAAGGAAATGCAAAGATTATTGGCTGTTTCTGGGACATTGCCACATGCAAATTGGCTGCCGTGTTCACCCGCAAAACCCAGTGACTACACATTACAGTATATCCTGTGAAGTGCTTTGAAACATCCTCCCAGCGTGAAAGGAGCTATCAATCAATTACCTTTACTATCTTCCTGATTCCAGCATCAGGCAGTTTCTTAAATAAGTCCAGTAACAACCATTCTGAGTAACCCATTCCAGCTGTTAATGTATCTTGTGTGTAAAGAGATACTCTCTGGCGTCAATTTTTCCCTCCACAGCCTTCCCCCACCCGGGCACCCCAAGCATCTTGTTCTGTTGAATGTCTGACAATGTTGTTCGATTACTAGGAATTGCAGTTAACATACTGTGATCCAGACATCTGCTTTTAGATCCTGTAAGATCCAATGTTACTTCCTCAATAGTAAATATGTGGGTATTTGGCAGACAAAGTGCCCAGCACCACCATAACTACTGGTGGACACACTGCAAGGAAATGTAGACTCACTCCATGGCTATTATATATATTATATAAGCGCTTTGGGACGTCCTCCCGAAGTGAAAAGCGCTATATCAAATGCAAGGATTATTATTATTATTTATTATTATTTGTGGGATACTACTATATGCAATTAGCTGCTGTGATTTTCCCACAAAATACAGTCAATTCACTTTACATGATATTCTGTGAGGTGCTTTAAGACGTCTCAAAGGCGTACTAAAGGCACTATATCAAATGCAAGGATTATTATTTTGAAAGATGTGACAAAAGGGGAAGAGAATGATTCCCCTCATTGCCCGTCCTGGGCCAAGTTACTTCCCACATGTTCTGTATAATGGGAGTGACTAGGTGGCAGTTGATATAAGTAATACAGCAACAACAAAATTACATTTGTATAGCACCTTTCACCCAAGTTGCTGGACAGTCAGTGTTTCGGACCCGAGCTGGGGGTTGGGATTGTAGATAGTGGAGGGCGGGGGGGATGCAAGGTGATCGAAAGCACGGTCAAAGAGGAGGAGCTTGAAATGTGTCTTGAAGTAAGCGAGGGAGGGAGCGAGGTGGAGGGTCTGCGGGACGAAGTTCCAGAGGTGCCGGAGCCTGCTGAGCGGAGGGAGCGGGCAGGATTGTAGGGGGTTAGGAGGTTGCAGAGGTAGGGGAGGAGCAAGGCTATGAGGGCTTTGAAGGTGAGGACCAGGATCTTGAACTGTATCCTCTGTGTGATGGGAAGTCCGTGGAGTTGGGCGAGGATGGGGGTGATAGGGTCACAGAGCCTAGTGTAGAAAATGACATGGGCTGCAGAGTTCTGGATGATCTGCAGTCTATGGAGGGAGGATTGGGGAGGTTGACAAGCAAGGAGTTTGCATAGTCAAGCCTGAATGTTATGAATGCGTGTATGAGGGTTTCGGCAGCCTGCGGTGTGAGACAGGTGGAGCGGGTGATGTTGCAGAGGTGGAGGAAGGCAAAGCGGGTCACGGTACGGATATGGGGTAGGATGGATAGTTGAGGGTCAAACAAGATGCCAAGATTCCAGTCTGGCTTAGTAAGGTGGAGTGTGCATCCATTGATGGTGATGCTGTCAGCGCCTGAGGTATGGAGGTGCTGACGGGAGCCAATCAGGAGAGCCTTGGTCTTGTTGATGTTCCACTGAAGAAAGTTAGCTCTTGTCCAGCACTTGATGTCCGACAGACATTCTGTCAGGACATCAAGGGTCCTGGAGTCAAGGATGGAGGCAGAGAGGTAGAGTTGGGTGTCATCTGCATACATGAGGAAGTTGACCCCATGTCTGCGATGATGTCACCAAGAGGGAGCATATAGATATTGAAGAAGAGGGGATCAAGAACAGCCCTGAGGAACACCGCACAAGACAGGGCGGGGGTTAGAGGAGAAACCGTTTGTGGAGATGAAGTGGAGGCAGTGTGAGAGGTATGATCTAAACCAGAGGACAGAGCCATGAAGGATAGGAGAGGCGGTGGATAAGGATAGAGTGGTCAATGGTGTCAATGGCAGCAGAGAGGTCGAGGATGAGGAGCCAGAGGGAGAATGCCATTTGTCACTTTGACCAGGGCTGTTTCTGGGCTGTGGGTAGCCTGGACATCCGAGTGGTGGAGTTTGTGAAGGGAATGGCGGGAGATAAAGGAGCGAAGCTGGGAAGCAACAACTTGTGCCAGGAACATGGAGAGGAAAGGGAGGTTGGAGTTAGGGCAGTAGTTTGAGAGCAATGATAGGTCCAGGGAGGTTTTTTTTGTAAGGATAGCAGTGATGACAGCTGTTTTTAATGGGGTGGGAACAGTACTAGTGGACAGGGAGAGGATTATGATGTCTGTGAATAGAGGGGCAAAGAGGTGGAGCTGGGTGGTAAGGAGAGGGATAGGGATGCGGTCGAAGGAATAGGTGGTCGGTTTCATGTGGGTTATAGTAGTGGTGAGAGAGGAGAGGGAGGCATGTTCGAACGTGTGGAGAGAGGAATGGGTAGGGTAATATTCTGCATCTGAGTGAGAATTTCCCTCTGAGCAGATGTTTCACCTGACTCCATATTTTTGATGAAAGAGCTAACAGCCCAATTGCAATGCTTTACAATTTATTTAATATGTTGGAACATGAAGATGTGCATTGCAAGGCATGTACAATATGGGGCTGTTACTGCTAATTTTGTTGATGTGCCGATATCAAATTTACATCACAAAAATAGGTCTTGTGCTCCCAGAAAAATAACAATAAATAGTAATCCTTGCATTTGATATAGTGCCTTATCATGTCTTCGAAATAACAACATAAAAAAGCTTATTATGGCTTTACTGGAGAAATTGGTTTTCCCAATGAAATTCATTCCGAAAGAATGATTTCCACGGGACTCGGATCTGCCCCTGATGCTTGAACCATATCATTTGTTTCTGGGCTGGAGAAGCTGTTTTGGACACATCTTTGTTCCCTGGCTCTCTAATGCACGGAATCGAAGCGACTGAAAATCATTGTGGGAGTGCAATGTAGTCATTTATTTTAAAAATTCTGTAAATTGCCAGAGGCATTGAATACAGTGTAACATATTGTCAAACCCAGGATGTAGTCGCTATAGCTAGGATTAAACGAACACTCACAAACAGAGTTAGCTCAGAAATATAGTTTATTTAACACTTGCAGCAAGGAGAGGGAAAGCGAGAGGCAATACAATAGCATGTCTCTCAGAAGAGTCGGTACTCTCCCTCTACCAATGGGGCAGTCCCATCAGTTCATATACATGATTATTTGCGATCACCTCATGTCTCAAAACAATTCTTGCTGTTGATTGACAAGCAATATTCAGTCATCACAAGTTTAATTATACATTTGCAAACAGGACAGGACAAGGACACTGGTTCTGCTCTAATTTATCTACATTGTTGCTTAAAAAACAACTTTAATCTTATCGTAGTCTAGACACTCTGTACTTTTCGTATTTTAGTCCTTTTACATTCCCACAATAGGAGTTCAGATACAGATTCTGATTTGGGAGACAGATGGACTGCCTGTCAGACCCACGGGAATCTCCCTCCTATACGCCTGCCTGTTCAGTGGGGAAAAAATAAACATTTGCAAGCTTGAAATTCAGTTCCTGCAAATTAAACATGAGAGGCTTGTGCACTTTCTTGGGTTTAATATTTAATGCATTTCATATGTATTCACAGAATCATAGAATATTACAACACAGCAGACCATTCGGCCCATTGTGTTGGTGCCGGCTTTTTGGAAGAGCTACCCAATCAGTCCCACTCACCCACTCTTTTCCAAATACTCCTGAAAATTTTTCATTTATTAAGTACCTATCTAATTCCCTTTGAAAATTGTTATTGAATGTTTCCACCACCCTTTCAGGCAGTGCATTCCAGACCGTAACAACTCTGTGTAAAAAAAAATCTCCTCATCTCCCCTCTGGTTCTTTTGCCAATTATCTTAAATCTATATGACCTGGTTACTGACCCACCTGCCAGTGGAAACAGTTTCTCTCTATCTACTCTATCAAAAACCCTCGTAATTTTTAACATCTCTATTAAAATCTCCCCTTAACTTTCTCTGCTCTAAGGAGAACAATTTCAACTTCTCTAGTCTCTTCACATAACTAAAGTCCCTCATCCCTGGTATCATTCTGCTAAATCTCTGCAGCCTCTCCAAAGCCTTGACACCTTCCTAAAGTGTGGAGCCCAGAATTGGACACAATACTCCAGCTGAGGCCTAACCAATGACTTGTAAAGGTTTAGCAGAACTTCCTCACCTTTGTACTCTGGATTTGTATTAACAGCTTTGCTTCCGTCATGCCACAACAAGTGAGCGGCATCATCACATGGCAGGAATTGGTCACAAATAAGCTTCGACGACACAAGACACGGAGAAAGCCAACCCTGGAATGTCTCACAGGAGGTGGTATCGCTCACTGAAAAACCTTCAGTTTTTAACAAATCAAACATTGCCACCTAGAGGCAAAATATTGGTGCTTTTTGCCAGGCAAATAGGGAAAATTGCAAAGCTGAAAGCCTGATCTCGAGCTTTTTTTAAAAATAACTTTATTGCTTCATCAGATTATTTTTTTAACAAGTGATTTTTGTCTGTCGCAATTTCCGTAAGGTTTTGAAAATCTGCAAGGTTTAGTATCCAGTCTGTTCTGCTTTCTGTTTCCCTGCTCACAAGTCTTATTAAAAAATACTGTATATCCGAGAGTGAAATGCAAAAGACAAGTAGGAGATTGGTGTGGCATGATAAATTCTGCTGCCTTTGGGAAATGGTGATGGAACAATATCACCAAAACTGACCTAATTGCAATCTTCCAAACCTCCTAATCTCAAATAGAATTGTTTGTTTGTATCTAATCCAGCAGGAATCAGAGTTATCCTAACCTAGATTACTACCTGGTCTGAAGGTGGCTATGATAAAAGGCTGTGGTTATTATAGCCAAGGAGGGATCAATTCTCTTGCTTATGGAATTTGATGATGGAATAGGGAAGATTTGAAACGTTTGTCCCTCTTCACACAGGATTGTGACGATATAGAACGTTCTGCCCAAGAAAGAGGTGAATGTGAACCGATAGAGGTTTGAATAAGCGACAGACAAGAGACTTAGTAAGTGGTACGGTGAAAAGGTGCGATATTGGGTTAAAGGATCTGCCAAGATCTAAAGCTGGTGGAACAGGCTTGATGGACTGAGTAGCCTCTTCCTGGTCCCTATGTTCCCTGAATATGCTGCTGAAATGAGTTATGTTAATCAATAGCACATGGTACATGTGCAGTCCACTAAAATAATGCGATCATATTTCATGAACATTTTTGTTCCCATCTATATGGTGACTGGTGATCCTCAGTGAAAGCAATCCTTGACTCCTGTGTGACTGACTGAGAATAACAGCAACTTTCTAAGAACAAAAACAAATTACATTTATGTAGCGCCTTTTGATTTCAGAAGGACGGCCCAAGGACTGAAGAAGATCAAAACAAGCTGGTGAAGAAAAAGTTTTTGTACAAATGCTCAAGGATATAGTGCTAACTGATAACAAAGGAGGTGGTGCATTAAGCTTGAAGAAGCGTTTTGGTTTTACTTTTTTCTGAACTGGAATGTAAATTATTTCCCCATATGGGCTGGTTTCTGTTCCATGGGGTGCCATTCTCAATTCCAGATGCATATTTTTCTCTTATTTTGCCCATTTGAGTTCCACCTCAACGGGGTAATGATCGCTGACATCCAGAACCTAATCACAAAGAGAAAGAAAGGAATTGGTCTTTGGCCCTCAGTGTACTGAACACATTCTGTTATCCCCATTTCCTAGGTAAGAAAGTTGTAAGAAACGTTCAAAGGGGAATTGTACTTGAAAAGGAAAAATTTGCAAAGATATGGGGAAAGAGTGAGGGAATGGGACTGATTGGGTAGCTCTTCCAAAGAGCTGGCATAGGGATGATGTGCTGAATAGCTTCCTTCTGTGATGTAATATTCTGTGATTCTACATAAGAACATAAGAAATGCTACACGAAAAAAAGATCAAGGTCTATCTGGTTCACCTTCCACCTTCCTGGCAGTCGCAATCACATATGTTCCGAACTGCCTATGTACTATATCCCATAATGTTATTTCCTAAAAGAAAACTATCTAATCTGCGTTTGAAGGAATCAACACTTCCTGCTTTAACTGTTTCCCTAGGGAGCCTGTTCCACAAGTTCACTATTGGCTCCATAGATTCGTTCTAAATTTATCCCCTTCATTCACAGCCCGTGTCCTCTGGTTTTACTATTCAGGACTAGTTTTAACAACCTGTCATGATGTACATTGTCTAGCCCCTTTAGGATCTTAAAGACAGCAATCATATCACCTCTCAATCTTCTCTTTTTCAGCATGAACATGCCCAATTTACTTAGTCGCTCCTTATAGTTTAGTCCCTCCATCCTCTCAATCATTCTGATTGTCCTACTGTGTATCCTCTCGAGTTTTCCCATTTTCTTTTTCCGGTATTCCAGCGACCAGAATTGTACACAGTACTCTAAATATGGTTACACCAGTGATTTATCCAGTGGCAGGATTACCCCACTATTTTGGCTTTCTATTGATCTTTTGATACATCCCAACATTTGGTTTGCTTTACTCACTGCCACAGAGCATTGCTGCAAGAGCTTCAATTTATTGTCAATCAGGTTGGTGTCATCTGCAAATTTAGCCACTGTGCTTGCGACTCCTAGTTCCAGATTATTTATAAAAATAATAAACAACAAAGGTCCCAAAACAGACCCTTGTGGAACTCCACTGGTATCACTTTCCCAGTCTGATGACATTCCCTGGATTCATTCGGTCAACAAGTTACACATCCATTGTAATATACTTCCACTGATTCCCGCTTTCTTTACTTTCAGTACCAGCCTCTCAAGAGGAACTGTATCAAAAACCTTACTGAAATCCAGATATACAACATTCACAGCCTTAACCTTATCAAGCTCCCTTGTCACACAGTCAAAGAAAACCAGTAAATTAGATTGGCGAGACCACCCCTTCATGAAACCATATTGGCTATCATTTATGATTTTATTTCTGTCCAGATGCTCCATGATTTTATCCAAAATAAGAGTCTCTATAATTTTACTCACAATGGACGTCAAACTTACTGGTCTGTAGTTTCTTGGTTTACTTCTGTTACCTTTCTTCAAAATAGGAGTAACATCTGCTTTTCTCCAGTCCCCTGGCACCTCACCAGTAATCAATCCCACTCCCCCGCTCTCTTCCCATAGCCCTGCAAACTTGTCCTCCCCAAATAATTACCTACTTCTCTCTTACAAGTTGTTATTGAATCGGCTTCCACCATCTTTTCAAGCGATGCAAACAACTCGCTGTGTGAAAAAATTTCTCCTCACCTCCCCTCTGTTTCTTTAACAACTATTTTAAATTGGTGTCCTGGGGTTACTGACCCACCCGCCAGTGGAAATAGCTCCTCCTTGTGCACCCTATCGAATCCCTCATAATTTTAAAAAGTTCTATTAAGTCTCCTATTAACCATCTCTGCTACAAGGAGAACAATCCTAGCTTCTCTAACCTCTTCTGATAACTGAAGTCCCTCATTCCTGGTACATCCTGGTAAATCTCCTTTCCACCCTCTCCAATGTCTTGATATCTATGCGTTAAGGCTTTGACTTGCAGAGTTCGCAGGAACTGAATGGGAACCCACGCTCCAAGATAATATTTAATTCATCAAAATTTTATATTTCGTATATTTTAGTAATCCTTGCACTTTGTATAACACCTTTCATGGTATAAATCAAGAAATATTTAGTCGAGAATATTTTTTTACCACTGATGTAGAAGGATATTTAAATGAGATACTTGAGTATGATATGGGCGAGAGAAAGGGGCATTGGAATTCAAAGATTTGCCAAGCTCTAACAAATTGGTGAATAGGCTTGATGGGGTCTGACACAATACAATACAAAATTAGATTTGTAAAGCGCCATTCATGTCGGGAGGACATCACTGGGCACTGAACAGTCAGGGATTAGTTCTTGAGCGGGCGGGGTGGGGATCAGGGAGGGTGGAGGGCAGAGAGAGTAGGAGGGTGGCTGAAGGCACGGTCGAAGAGAAGGGTTTTGAGGCGTGCCTTGAGGCAGCAAGGGAGGGAGCGAGGCGAAGGGAATATGGGATGGAGTTCCAAAGGGTGGGGGCAGGGAGGCTGAAGGCCTGACTGCCAATGGTAGGGCAGGTCAGGCAGGGGTCATGGAGCCGGCCGGAGTCTGCTGAGCAGATGGAGCAGAAAAGATGATAAGGGGTTAGCAAGTTGTAGAGGTAGGAGAGCCAGTGGAGTCGGACAAGGGTGAGTGTGATGGGGTCACGAAGCCTGGTGCGGAAGAGGACACAAGCTGTAGAGTTCTGGATGATCTGCAACTTGTGGAGGGAAGAGTTGAGAAGGCCAACAAGCAGTCGAGCCTAGATGTAATGAAGGCCTGTATGAGGGTTTCAGCGGTCTGAGGGGTGAAGCAGTGGCGGAGTCGGGCAGTATTGCAGAGGTGGGAGAAGAAGAGTGGGTCATGGCATGGAATTGGGGGAGAAAGGATAGTTGAGGATCGAACAAGACACCTAGGTTCCTGACTGGCTTGAGGTGTATGCATCCGTGGATCCTGATGCTGCCAGTGCCTGAGGTACAGAGGCGGTGGAGTGAGCCAATCAGGAGTCTCGGTCTTGCTGATGTTCAACTGTAGAAAGTTGGCTCTCATCCAGGACTTGATGTCTAACAGACAATCTGACAGGACAGCAGTGATCCTGGAGTTGAGGGTGGAGGCAGAGGGACAGAGTTCGGTGTCATCCACATACATGTGTAAATTGACCCCATGTCTGCGGATATCACCAAGAGGGAGCATGTACAGGAGAGGAGAGGACCAAGCTCTGAGGAACACCGCACAAGATGGTGCGGGAGCTGGAGGAGAAGCCGTATAACATACCTCCTCATCTGTCAGTTCCAGAGTTTTCTGGAAGTTGAAGGGCTTTGCAGAATCTGGAACGATTGACTGGTAAAGTGCATCTCCATAGACAACAATCCTATCAACAGCAATCCAAGACAGCAGCAGGTTAGATAAGGAATGAGCTGTTCATTCTGCACACAATAACGGAATACACTGCCACAGGGGAGCGTGGTTGATGCAGGAACAAAATAAATGCACTTTTCTGCAGCCGTAGCAGGGAGACAAGAAGACTGTTTCCTTCCTGGGGCCAGGGTGAAGGACGTCACTTCTGGGCTGGAGAAAAATTTGAAGCAGGAGGGAGTGGATCCAATAGCTATGATTCACATAGGGACCAATGATGTAGGTAGGACAGGTAGGGACGAGTTGAGGCGCAAGTTCCGGGAATTGGGAGTTAAGCTAAAGAGTAGAACTTCGAAGGTATTAATATAGGATTATTACCTGAGCCAGAAGCAAATTGGTACAGGCAAAAAAAAAAATTAAAGAACTGAGTACCTGGCTGAGAGAATGGTGCGGAGGGCAGGGGTTTCACTTTATAGGCCACTGGCACCAGTATTGGGGGAGACAGGACCTATTCCAAAGGAATGGACTCCACCTAAACAGGGCTGGGACAAATGTCCTGCCAACACGAATAAATGGGGAGGTAGACAGGGCTTTAAACTACTAAGGGTGGGGGGGTAAATTCAATCACAATTAAAATTAGGACAGACGAAAGTGGGAGAGCAGATTAACCAGGGAGATGAGCAGAGGGTGTCAAGCGGGGAAAGGAAGCCCAGGGATAGGGTACTGGTGAATAGGACTAATAGCCCAAAGTCAGAATTAAAGGTGCTATATCTGAATGCGCAAAGCATTCGAAAGATGGATGAGTTAAATGCACAAATAGAAACAAACAGGTATGATCTGGTAGCCATCACCGACACAAGGAGATCAAGGGTGGGAGCTAAATATTCCAGGGTATGTGGTGTATAGAAAATGTGGTAAACGAGGGGGGGGGGTTGCCCTGCTAATAAAGGATGGGATAAAAACAGTAGAGAGGAAAGATTTTAAATCAGAAAAGCAGGAAGCGGGAGTAGTTTATAGACCCCCGAACAGCAGTCACAGTGTTTCTCAAGATATATATCAGGAAATTAGCAGAGCATGTAGCAAAGGAAAAGCATTACTTGTGGGTGATTTTAATCTGCACATAGATTGGGACAACCAAATTGGGAAAGTATGATAGAGGAAGAGTTTATAGAATGTATTAGGGATAATTATCTAGATCAGAATACCGAGGAGCCAACCAGGGAACAGGCCACATTAGACCTTGTTTTGTGCAATGAAGCAGGACTGATCAGCAAACTGGAAATTAAGGCTCCTCTAGGGCAAAGTGATCATAATATGATGGAATTTAGCATTAAGTTAGAGAAGTAGTTAAGTCCGAAGCAAAGGTTTTAAATTTAAGTAGAGCCAATTTTGCTGGTATGATAGAGGATTTAGCCAAAATAAACTGGGAAATTAGACTTAAGGTTTTGACAGTAGACCAGCAATGGCAGACGTTTAAGGAGATAGTGCAAAATTCCCAGCGAGCACGTATTCCTTTGAGGAATAAGAATGCCACGGGAAAGGTGGCCCAACCGTGGCTAACCAGAGCAGTTAGGGAAAGTATAAAGTTAAAGGAAGAAGCCTATAAAACTACTAAGATGAGTAGTAAACCCGAGGATTGGGAGAACTTTAGGGATCAACAAAGGAGAACCAAAAAGGGAGGGAGAAAATGGAATATGAGTGCAAACTAGCGAAGAACATAAAGACAGACTCCAAGAGCTTTTATAAATATATAAAGAGGAAGAGACTGTCAAAGGTAAATGTGTGTCCCTACAGGCAGAGACGGGGGGAATTATAGTAGGGGACAAAGAAATGGTAGAGCCATTGAACAAGTACTTTCCTACTGTCGTCACCTTTGAAGACACTGAAAACCTATCAAGAATAGAGGGGAAACAAGAGGAGAATGTTAGCGAGCAACTTGTGGGAATTAATATTAGTAAAGAAATGTTTTTTGGTAAATTGTCAGGTCTTAAAACTGATAAATCTCCTGGACCTGATGGCCTACATCCTAGGGTTTTAAAAGAGGTGGCTACTGAGATAGCGGATGGCTTGTCTTTGATCTTCCAAAATTCTCTGGATTCTGGAACGGTTCCCATTGATTGGAAGATTGCAAACGTAACACCACTATTTAAGAAGGGTGGGAGAGAAAAGATGGGGAACTATAGACCAGTTAGTCTGACTTCAGTGGTAGGGAAAATTCTTGAGTCCTTAATTAAAGATGTCGTTATGGGATTCCTGGAAGACCATAAAAAGATTAGGCAGAGTCAACATGGCTTTACAAAAGGGAAGTCATGCTTAACTAATCTTTTAGAGTTTTTTGAAGATGTATCTAGCAGGTTAGATAGGGGGGAACCAGTAGATGTAGTATATTTAGATTTTAAAAAGGCATTTGACAAAGTGCCACCCAAAAGGCTATTGCACAAGGTTAAGGCCCACGGAATTAATGGGAACATATTAGCATGAATTGAAGAGTGGCTAACGGGTAGAAAACAGAGAGTAGGGGTAAACGGGTCATTCTCGAATTGGCGGGATGTGACTAGTGGAGAGCCACGAGGATCAGTGCTTGGGCCACAGCTATTTACAATTTACATCAATGATCTAGACGAGGAGATTGAATGTAACGTATCGAAATTCGCGGATGACACTAAACTAGGTAAGCTCTGAGGATGGTGCAAAAAGATTGCAACGGGATATAGATAGGCTAGAGTGGGCGAGTAGGTGGCAGATGGAATTTAATGTGGGGAAGTGTGAAGTTATTCACCTAGGTAGAAAAAATAGAAAAACAGATTATTTTCTAGAGGGGGAGAGATTAGACAGTGTTAGTGTGCAGAGGGATTTGGGTGTCCTTGTGCACCAGTTTTAAAAAGTTAGTTTGCAGGTGCAGCAGCAACTAAGAAGGCGAACGGCATGTTAGTGTTCATTGCATAAGATTTAGAGTACAAGAGTAGGGAAGTGTTGCTGCAACTGTATAGGGCCTTGGTGAGACCGCACCTAGAGTATTGTGTGCAGTTTTGGTCTCCTTATTTAAAAAAGGACATACTTGCCCTAGAGGGGGTGCAGCGTAGATTCACTCGGTTAGTTCCTGGGATGAGGGGACTGACCTATGAGGATAGGCTGAATAAACTAGGGCTGTATTCTCTAGAGTACAGAAGAATTAGGGGAGATCTGATCGAAACATATAAGATTCTTAAAGGGCTGGATAAAGGGTCTGAGGGTCTGTTTTCCCTGGTAAGAGAATCTATAACCAGGGGTCACAGTCTTAAAATTAAGGGTCAGCCTTTTAGAACAGAGTTGAGGAAACATTTCTTCACTCAGAGGGTAGTGAACTTATGGAATTCACTACCCCAGAAGGCTGTAGATGCTCAGTCCTTGAATATCTTCAAGGCTGAGACTGATAGATTTTTAAAAAATAGAGGGATTAGGTGATATGGGGATAGGGCAGGTAATAAGAGTTAGGTCTGAAGATCAGCCATGATCTTATCGAATGGTGGGGCAGACTCGAGGGGCTGAATGGCCTACTCCTGCTCCTAATTCTTATGTTCTTAAATGTTGCAATTATGCGAAAGCAAGAGAGATGTTACAATTGTAATCCTTGTAAGATTACTGCATAATAATAATAATAATCCTTGCATTTGATATAGCGCTTTTCACGTCGGGAGGATGTCCCAAAGCGCTTCACAGAACACACTGTAAAGTGAATTGACTGTATATTTGTGGGTGAACGCGGCAGCCAATTGCGCACAGCAATGTCCCACAAACAGTCATGGATTGAAAATGACCAATTTATTATTGTTTTTTTTTTGGAGGGATTATTAGTGGAGTGATTGTATTTTGCAGCCAATTTGTGCACAGCAAAGTACCATAAAGCTTTGTAGTCAATGACCAATTTTATCTAGTAGATTGTGGGCCAGGACACCGGGAGAAACTCCTTTCTCTTTCTGAGTAGTGCCTTTAATATCCGCCTGAACAGGATGCTCATTTAACATCTCATTCGAAGGAACACATGACAATACAGCTGTCCACTGGATTAGAGTAATTGGATGAGAGACGAGGCATTAAACCCAGGTCCTTTCTTGGTGTGTGTTAAAGATCCCATGGCACTATTCGAAAAGTGAAGGGATTATAATCTACAAGTTCTTTCAGTTCTTCAAGTAATGTGACAGCAATTGTCTATATATATAACAACACATATATATAACAACACAACAACGAAGAGGAGGGAATGGAGGGGAGTGTAGTGTAGGACTGGGAGTCCAGAAAGCTTGTGGTTCATTCTCTGGTCGAATGTTAAGGGACTGTCCTGTGGGGTGGGGGGAGCTGAGTTGGCTGTAAGATAATGTGCTTGCGAATGTCAGAAGTAAGAGAAGGCTAAATAGCCTGTAAGGTTTGGGTGTCACCTGTCATACGCCTGGTCTGTGTTGGGGTTGGCTGTAGTGTCCTCGTCATCTCCAATGAGCCAGTGGAAGTTGGGATCCGTGCGAAGTCTTATTGTCTTCATTTTCCTCTTGGATACATACCTGCCGTCAGCATTGAAGTCACCTAGAATCATGATGTTCTATGGAAAGAGGAAGCATCTCATGAGGCATGATGTGATCAGACGGGCCTCCAGGCTTAACATGTTAAATGTCACAGCAGCTCACTCAGTTTAGGACAAAGGTTTGAATCCCACTGGGATTCAATTTAGTTCTTCACCCTTTCAAGGTCAATAAAATAATTATCAGATACAAACATAATAAACCTTACTTTTGGTACAGTAACTTTCCCATCAGGGGAAAGCGGTTCACAGGATATAATGTAATATGCAGTGACTGTGTGTTTTGTGGACAAACATGGCAGCCAGTTTGCAAACAATGTCCAACAAGAAGTAAATGATCAATTTTATCTGGGGGATTATTGGCCAGGACATTGGGATAAACTCCTTTCTCTTTTTGAATAGTATCTTACAATAAGATCTTTAAAACATTCCCCTGAAAAGGCAGATGGGACCTCAGCTTAACATCTCATCAGAAAGACAGCACCTCCAACCTCCCTCAGCACTGTTTTGAAGTCAGGATAGACAATATGCATAAGTCTCAATGTGGAACTTGAATCCACAACCTTCTGTCTCTGAGGCAACTCGATAAACATGGTCGAAAAGGATGATTTTAAGGCGGGACTTGAAAAAGGGGAGAGAGAGGCCAAGGCGGAGGGATTGCGGGAGAGTGTTCCAGAGCTTCGGGGGTTGTGCTGAATGTGCGACCTCCAATGGTGGGACAAGCAGGAGGCCAATGCCAGTCGAGCGGAGACCATGGATTAGGGAGTGAGGAGGTCGGAGAGGTAGTGAGGTGCAAGGAATGAAGAGATTTGAACATGAGCGTGAGGATGTTAAAGTTGATCTGTTCAGTGATGGGGAGCCAGTGGAGGCTGGCCAGACTGGTGAGATGTGGGTACAGAGTTTGGTCCGGGTCAGTATGGGGGTGGAAGAGTTCTGAGTGAGCTGGATTTTTTGAATAGTGGAGCCAGGAGACTGGTAAGGAGTGTGTCTGAGTAATCTAGGCGGGAGTGGACAAATGCATCCACGAAGGTTTCGGCTACATTTGGGGTAAGGTACAGTCGGAGGTGGGCAATGTGGCGGAGGTGGTGGAAGGCGGCCCTGGTCAGGGAGCGGATGTGGGGAAGGAAGGACAGCTAGGGGTCGAACCGTACGCCTAGGTTGTGCACTGGTTCGATGACTCTGAGGGAGAGCCCGAAGAGGATGAGGAGTTCAGATCTGCAGGAGTGAAGATGTTGGCTTCCTTCTTGTCCACATTCAGCTGCAGGTAGTTTGCACTCATTCAGGTCCTGATGTCTGGCAGACAAGCTGAATGAACATCGGCGACTTGGAGTTGCAATAATAATAATAATTCTTACATTTGATAAGCACCTTATCACATCATTGAGATGTCTCAAAATGTTTCGCAATATACAGCAGAATCCGCTTTAGCCGGATGTCGGTTAACCCCAGTAAATTGGGATGAAACTCCTAGCCTCGATTCATTTGCATTCTTGTCTGTTTTAAATACGCCTGTTAATTAAGATGAATATTTGGTTAATCCGGGCAAAATGCTGCACTGATCACCGATGGGTCACCTCACTCAATATTTCCAGTGGCTCCTTCAGCCAGGAGCGACTTTGGGATGGAGATGGGAGGAGTCACATTGCGATTGACAGTGGACTCCAGCCATTCATAAGCGGCTGGGGGAGTGAGGAGCGTGAGGGGCCAGTGACTATATCTGGTGGACGGGATGGGACCAAGTAGTGCCAGCTCGAGGAGGTGGAGCCGTTGCTACAACTTGGTCGCCTTCCCTTCCAATGGTAATGGCAATGGGAAGTATGAGGTCTCAGCAGAGGAGACGCTTTAGTGAGCAGGAAGAGAAGAGAAAGGTAAGAACTTCAGTTATCAGACAAAACTCCTTGCCCCGATTCGTACAGCTAAAGCAAATTCCACTATATATTGTAAAGTGGATTGACTGTGTATTAACTCTCCTTATCAGGGAATGGGAGCAAGCAGCCTCTCCTTTGGGTCTGAACAGGTTCTGCAGAGACAAATCATCTGACAAAGCCACAAAACACACAGTCACGATACTTCACAGTGAAACCTTTGAAGCCCTTTGAGACATCCTTTCGATGTGAATTTAAAAGAAGTGACAAAACTGTTAAAAAAGGACATGGGATCCCTGGCAAGGAAATTATGTTGAACCTTTACAAAATCACCTCAACTGGAGTGTTGTGTCCAATTTTGGGCACTACACTTTAGGAAGCTATCAGGGACTTGAAGAGTGCAGAAAAGATTTATAAGAATGATACCAGAAATGAGGGACTTTATACGGAGAGATTAGAAAGAAGCGAGAGACCTTGGTTCGATTCCCGACAGGACAAAATGTTGGGTAAGCTTCCTTACTCCACGTGCCTCTGTTTACCTAGCAGTTAGTATGAACCATCATTGCCTCCATCTCCTCACTGAGCCTCACCAGCTCAGCCCAGCAGGATAACCATGGCTCGCTGATCACTCCTGTTCGCTCCAAGTCTCAGTGTGCGCATTTTGGCTGCTGCAATTGACCCGAGCTGTTTCCCCAAGATGTTCCTGACCCCATCCCCTTCCCTCCACTACTCCTGCTCAACCCTCCTCTCCCTCCGCCTGTCCTGACTCCTACCCCTCCTTGACTCCCCCACGGCCTCCCTCTGCTCCTCCCTTCACATTCTCCGTCATGCCCATCGTGGTAGACGCTGTCAGCTGTCCTACAGCACCCTGACCCCACACTCGCTGCAAGACCCACCGGCCCTCACCCATGGGAGCCAACCTTTCCTCACTCACTCACATCCCCATCCAACCCGTCTGCCCACCCCCTTCCCCCTCTCATCTCCCCCACACTCCCATTACTAACTGTCCCCTCCACATCGGTCTGCAGAATGTCTGCTCACTCACCAACAAGTCCCTCACAATCCACGACCTCACCTTCGAGGAAAATATTGACAAATCCTCGAAAAATCCTCGCCCTCACCGAAACCTGGGTCACCCCAGGTGACACCTTCCCACTAGTTGAGGCCACACCTCCAGGTTACACCTTTCACCAAACCCCACAGCCTAATCGCCGGGGCAGTGGTGTGGCTCTCATCTCCCGGTTCCCCCTACTCCTCCGGAACCTTCCCCTCCTTTGAACACCTTACGCTCTACCACCCCTCCAGGCTTTCCTTCAAAATCCTCCTTGTTTACCATCCCCCCAAACCTTCTCCCACTTTCTCTCGGACATCTCCACCCTTCTATCTTCCCTCTCCCTCTACTCTGAATGCCTCCTAATCTTAGGCGACTTCAACCTTCACTTTACCCCCTCCTGCTCTACCTCTGCCGACTTCTCTTCCCTCCTCTCTTCCCTCAACCTTTCCCTCCTCATCCACTCCCCCACCCATGACCATTCTCTCAAGGCACAATTGTGAGCTGCCGAATGCTGCCAAATCTAAACTAACGGTCCATCGGCAGATTTGGCTTCACCACACCAAGATCTACCGCTGCGCTCTTGCCCCTGCCAAAACTTCCTTCTATTCAAAGGTTATCTTGGAGGCAAAGGACAACCCCAGGCTTCTCTATTCCACCACAAATTGTCTCCTCCGTCCATCCTCCCATGCCTCGCCCATCCTCTCCTCAAACTCCAACTGTGAGGAGATGCTGGACTTCCTCGAATCCAAAATCGAGGGGATACATTCAGCCACCTCAGCCCCGTCCACAGCCACCCCCACATCACCTCTCCCTCATGATCCACCCCCCACCCAAAATTCTTTCGACCCTATCTCTCCCTCCTCCTCACCATGACTGTCCGCAAACTCAAATCCACCACCTGCTCCCTCGATCCTATCCCCACCTCTCTCCTCATCTCCCAGCTTCACCTTCTGGCCCCTCTCCTGTTCGACATTATCAACGTCTCCTTGTCCACTGGTTCAGTTCTCACACCCCTAAAGATAGGCATCATCACCCCCCATCTTGAAAAAACCTTCCCTGGATCCATCCTTCCTCTCCAGCTACTGCCCCATCTCTAACCACCCATTCCTCTCCAAGGTCCCAGCGACGAGTCGTTGAGTCCCAGCTCTGCTCCTTTCTCTCTCGCCATTCCCCCTTTGAACCCCTCCAATCTGGCTTCCGCGCTGCCCACAGCACGGAAACAGCCCTGGTCAAAGTCACTAATGATATTCTGAACATCTGTGATCAGGGCTTCCACGTTCTCCGACCCACCCACCCCACCATTGGCGGGAGAGCCTTCAGCCATTCTGCCCCCAACCTCTGGAATTCATCCCCCAATCACTCCGCCTCGCCCCCTCCAAGTCCCACCTCAAGACCCTCCTCTTCAAACATGCCATCGGCCACCCCCCTTCCCCTCCCCTCCCTTCTCCCTTCCTGACCCCAGCTCGGGTCTGAAATGCTGTACTCTGTCCAACACCTTGGGACGTCCTCCCGACGTGAAAGGCGCTATACAAATGTAATCTTCTTGTTATTATTGTTTACCTACCTAGTTAGTATGAACCCGATTGTTAGTCGATTGACAAATCGCTTTTCCGGGGGTAATAATTCCTTAAAAAAAATTGGTCAATTAAATCCACGACTGTTTGTAGGACATTGTTGTGCGCAATTGGCTGCTGTGTTTCGCCCACAAAATATACAGTCAATTCACTTTACAGTATATTCTGTGAAACGCTTTGAGACATCTCGAACATGTGATGAGCTGCTAAATCAAATGCGAGGATTATTATTATTAGAGCAGAGAAGGTTGAAGGGAGATTTAATGGAGATGCTCAAAATTATGAGGGGTTTTGATAAGAGTAGATAGGGAGAAACTGTTTCCTCTGGCAGGTGGATCGGTAACCAGAGCGCACAGATTCAAGTTAATTCGCAAAAGAACCAGAGGGGAGATGAGGAGAATTTCTTTTACCCAGAGAGTTGTTACAGTCTGGAATGCACTGCCTGAAAGTGTGGTGCAAGCAGATTTGATAATAACTTTCAAAAGGTACTTAAAAAAGAAAAATTTGCAGAGCTCTGGATTAAGAGCAAGGGAGTGGAATTTGTTGGTAGCTCTTTCAAAGAGCCGGCACAGGCACAAATCCCATCGGTATCCTGGCCATTTCCTTCTGTGCTGTAAGTAAAAAAAAAGCCAGGATTATTATTATCAATGCAATGCCCAGTGTTTCTCATGTATGCAAGTCTATACACGTTCAAACTGTGATTTAAAGCCCAGTTGGTCTCCCCAATGCTGAATTTAAGAGCACAGCACAAAGATAAGGATTGCCTGAGCCCAAACACTGGCTGGATTATCTGAACTCTCAGTGGAATTAACTGCCTATCAAACGGGCATCCAGCTGCCAATCATTGCTGGAATTCCAGAGAATTCCAACCACAGTAAAGCAGGTCACTCCGCAGGGAGAGAGGTGCTGGAATTGGAAGTGGTGAATTAAGGGACTGAAATAGAAAAGATACAGAATTAAAGGCTGGAGAAGAGGTCAGGTCTATTCACGAGCTTAGGAAGGAAGCTATTTTTATTGAGCTAAAGTGCAATGAGAGATTAAGAAAGTATACAGTTGACTGGGAATGATGTAACATGTATTACTAGCTAGTACCTCTAACTCGTACCTCTTTGCAAATCGTAGGTAATCAGTGTCCATACTCGGGTGCCAGCCTGGCTCAGTCAGTAACACTCTCACCTCAGAGTCTGAAGGTTTGTGAGTTCAAGCCCCATGTCAGGTCATTGAATTTATATCGTCAAGGCTGTCACTCCAATGCAATGCTGGGTGAAGAACTGCATTGTTGAATGTGCCGTTGTTCAGATGAGTCTGAAGTCCCAATTGCCTGTTCAGGTGGACATTAAAGATCCCATGGCATGCTTGGAAAGGAGAAGGGAGTTTCTCTCTACCAGTGTCCTGGCCAATAATCCTCCAAATAAAATTGGTCACTCAGTTCATGGTCTTTTGTGGGACTTTTACAATTGTTGCTTTACCCAAATGGAAAGCCATATTCACCTTCAAAACACAGAGTCACTACACTTTACAGTAAATCCTGTGAAGTAATCTAAGACATCCTCCTGATGTGAAAGGCGCTGGATCCGATGTAAGAGATTATTCTTATTTATAATTGGGTTCAGAATTCTATGATTCTATGTTGTTAGGTTGACAGTTTGTAGGTTCCTGGTCCACCACCAGATGGGGACGCAGTCTATTCTAAAGATACCTAATCGTATCAGCTGTTGTCCTTAGTGTATAGCTGCCCATTCAACACAATGGGTGAGATTGCTCCAGTAATGTGCCTTAACCTTTTCCTCTCCTGCATTTACCGCCAAAGAGAACAGTACTGCCCATGGGTGATATTTGCATTTAACAGGCCAGCCTTGTATTCCGTCTCTCTCTGGCATGACATTGCCAATTTAATATCTCCAAGCGTCTCTCTGCTGTGAGCTGGCTCCCAACTGGCCACAATAGTCAAATACAAATGCATCAGCTAACCGAGCAAGCAGGCTTTCCCCACATCTTGCTCGCTGGATTCAAGCCCAGGTTATAGCAACAAAAAGTCTGCATTTTGTCAGGGTCCCTACAGATATCACACACAAACACACACTACATGCAGAAAGCAACAAAGAATTCAACACTGTGTAAAACTGGGTCACACACACACCAAAAGCACGGTTGCTGTTCAGTGATTAAGGACTGATAAATGCTGACGTTTATCATGACGAGATGTCAGCTTGGCTCAGCTCTGGATTAATAATCCTTGCATTTGATATAGCGCCTTATCACATCTTCGAGACATCTCAATACACTTCACAGAATATACTGTAAAGTGAATTGACTGTATATTTTTGCATTGTCGGGTAAGACATTAAAATCGAGATCCCATCTGCCTTTTCAGGTGGGTGTTCAAGATACTGTGACACTGTTTAAAAATACACAGGAATTTTCGTTGGTGCCCTGGCCAGATACATTGGCTAGTTACAGTAATACATTACAATGTATATTTATACCTCATTCTTCACATCAGGACAATGTCCCAAAACAACTGAGCTGAGGGTGGGGGGGATGATGCTCCAAAGGGCGTCCAAAGAGGAAGGTCTTGAGACAGAACGAGACGAGGAAGGGAGTGAATCGGAAGGACTCTGGGATGGAGTTCTAGAGAGCAGGGACAGAAAGGTTTATGGTGGGGTGGAGGACATGAAGTAGACCGGTGCTCGCAGAGCAAAGGGAGTAGCCGGGTAGATAGGTTTTGAAGAGGTCGCAGAGATCATAATGACAATCCTTGCATTTGATACCGTGCCTTATCATATCGAAGTGTTTCAAAGTGCTTCACAGGATTTACTGTGCTCACGTGTATGTCAAATGAAGGTGAAGCAGCCTCCAATTTTAACCACAAACAGGAATGAGTCTAATCTGACCCTCCAGTGCAGTGATGGGGGTATTTTGCATTGTTGTAGGTGTCGTCTTTCAGATGAGATATTAAACTTAGGTCCCGTTTGCCTTTTCAGGTGGATGTTAAAGATCCCATGGCACTATTCGAGAAGGGAGTTTTTATCAGTAGCTTGGCCGACAAACCCCCAATTAAAATTGGCTGTTTGTAGGACGCTGCTGTGTGCAAATTGGCTGCTGTGTTCTTTGATGATATTCAATCACTAGACCTGACAGCAATCCCCTATGGAGGGCTTTGATATGGTTTGAAGCTGTAGCTGCTATAGGAATATTATTGCTTGTTATTAATGATGGAAACGTTACACTACTGTGACAACCCTCCCATCCCACTGTGTAATAATAACAGTAATAGTTGCATTTGATATAGCACCTTATCACATTGTTGAGACGTTTCAAGTCGCTTCACAGAATGTATTGGCAAGGTAATTAAGTTTATATTGTGGGAGAAATACAACAACAACAAAATTACATTTGTATAGCGCCTTTCACATTGGGAGGACATCCCAAGGCGCTGAACAATCAGTGATTCGTACCCGAGCTGGGGTCAGAATGGGGGAGGATGGAGGGCAGGGGTGAAGGTGGGTGATCAAAAGCAAGGTTGAAGAGGAGGGTCTTGAGACAGGTCTTGAAGGAAGCAAACAGAGGGGGCGAGGCAGAGGGACTGCAGGGTGGAGTTCCAGAGGGTGGGGGCAGAGTAGCTGAAGGCCCCTCCATCAAACAGGGAGTTTGCAAGCAGAGAGTTTGCATAGTCGAGCCTGGATGTTATGAAAGCCTGTAGTGTGAGACAGTGGCGGAGCTGGGCAATGTTGCGGAGGTGGGGGAAGGCAGAGCGGGTCATGGCACAGATGTGGGGTAGAAAGGATAGTTGAGGATCAAACGTTCAACTGTAGATAGTTAGCTCTCATCCAGGACTTGATGTATGGCAGGACAGCAGTGTACCTGCAATCAAGGATGCAGGCAGAGAGGTAGAGTTGGGTGTCATCTGCATACATATGGAAGTTGACCCCATGTCTGCGGATGATGTCACCAAGAGGGAGAATATAGATATTGAAGAGGAGGGGACCAAGGACAGAGACCTTAGGAACGCCGCACAAGACGGTGTGGGGGCTAGAGGACAAACCATTTGTGGAGATGAAGTGGAGACCATTTTTTTTGAGGGATTGTTATCCCCGGAAAGTGATCCGCCAATTGACTAACAACCAAGTTTCTACTTACTGTTAGGTGAACAGAGGTATGTGGAAGAAGGAAACTTGCCTACAGTTTTGCCCTGATGGGGAATCAAACTAGGTCCTCTCGCTTGCGAGGCGAGTGCATTAACCACTACACTATGGGACTCCATGAAAACTCAGTGTCCTTGTTCCATGTACCTGCGACTGTGACGTACCTCTGTGTTCCAATCTGATTTTACTTTCAGGACGACATCGTAGAGCTCGTCAATCTCCTTGACTGAATCATTGGGGGTCGTGTGCTGAGGAATGAGGACAAAGTCCTCCATGCCTGAGATCACAAAGATCACAAAGAGTCCAGTCAGTGTCACTGATGCTGGGAAGCAACCACACACTCAAAAATAACCCATCAATGTTTAAGTGCTGAGTAAATGTGTATTTTATGCCTGGTTACTGAGTGCTGGGTACCAGAAATGGCGGGTTATAAACTGCGTGCCACCAACAGTATTATACAGGGTGAATCACCTTACTTCTTAAAGTTGTTACTCCTAGGTCTATAGGAGATGTTCACACTGCATGCCATGTAGGCCTTTACACATATAAACTCAGTAACAAAAACTTTCACACAAATGCAATGAAAGACTTTTCCTGTAATAGCGGCACACTCTCTCTGAATGTTATCTTTAAAAAAGAACGTGATTAATAATAAAAACCTCTATGGGTAAGGACTTCTCATTCACCCTGTATATAACTCCTCTGACCACAAAGTTAGTTACATGGGCTCACTCTTCTAAACACAAGCTACTAAAATCGATTATAGGGTATAAGCACATCACTGTGTACAATCTTCTCTTCATTGCAGTGTAAAACTATACATGCTGCTGTCTTACTTCCTCTCTGAAGCACATAACCACAGGAAGGGCTTCAACAAGTGATGAAACCAGAAACCACATTTGCATGTCTGCACCAAGTCAGCCCATTTCAGCAACCTGAGGTTAGGACTCAGCATGTCTGCATTTTTATATCTCTTACGACAATAACAACTTGAATTTAACAGCACTCTTCACGCGGGGTACAGACTCGGAGCGCTTAACAGTGGCGGAGGCTGATGCCGAACAGGAGGGATGGGGGAGGTAACCATAAGCACGGTCGAAGAGGAAGATCTTCAGGCGTGATCTAAAAGAGGGGAACGAGAGGGCAAGGTGGAAGAGCTTTGGGAGAGTGTTCCAAAGCTTTGGGGCTTAGTGGCTGAAAGTGCGGCCGCCATGGTGGAGCGGAGGGCACGAAGGACAAGCAAGATGCCAGAGCCAGCGGTGCGGAGGTGGCGGGTAGTGGAGTAGGGAGTGAGCAAGTTGGAGAGGTAGGGAGGTGCCAGAGCAGAAAGGGATTTGTAGACAAGTGTGAGGATTTTGAAATCGATCCGTTCTGTAATGGGGAGAAAGTGAAGCCTGGCGAGGACTAGTGTGAGGGAGTATGGAGTTTAGAGAGGATACACTCGAGCAGAGAGCCGGAGTGAGGCGAGGCCAGAGTGAGAAGGAATTGGGTGAGAGTGGGAATTAGGTGCAGAGGGGGAAGTATATCTTCTAAACGACAATAATACAGGAATAAATAGAGTGAGAGGAGAGAATGGCCTGGCAGGTGATGTGTGAGGAATGTGGTATGTGGGAGTTGATGGGAGGGCAACCTGAGCCCGGGCGACATCATCTGCAGCAAATGTCTGCAACTGAGGAAGCTCCAGCTTAGAATAGCTGAGCTGGAGTCTCAGGTGAACACACTGCACAGCATTAGAGATGGGGAGAGCTTCCTGGACAGTTTTATCCTGGAGCCAGACACTCCCACAAGTCCCAGGGAACATTATGTTGCCAACCATGGACAGGACTGTGTGACGGTCAGACAGGCACGTAAGGGGACCCGAAAGAGAGGGACAGAGGAACCCTAAGCTTTAACCTTGTCCAATAGGTATGAAATACTTGCAACCTGTGTGGACAAGGAAGTCTGTGAGGAAGATGGGCAAACTTAACCCAAAACCTCTATTCAGGAGGAAACACTGGGAATAGTCATAAGGAATATAGTGGTAATTGTGGATGAGACAGTCAGGAATACTGGCACACTTTTCTGCAGCCGTAGCAGGGAGACAAGAAGACTCCGTTGCCTTCCTGGGGCCAGGGTGAAGGACATCACTTCTGGGCTGGAGAAAAATTTGAAGCAGGAGGGAGTGGATCCAATAGTTATGATTCACATAGGGACCAATGATGTAGGTAGGACCGGAAGGGATGAGTTGAGGAGCAAGTTCCGGGAATTGGGAGTTAAACTAAAGAGTAGAACTTCAAAGGTATTAATATCAGGATTATTACCTGAGCCAGAGGCAAATTGGTACAGGCAAAAAAAAATTAAAGAACTGAATACCTGGCTGAGAGAATGGTGCGGAGGGCAGGGGTTTCACTTTATAGGCCACTGGCACCAGTATTGGGGGAGACAGGAGCTATTCCAAAGGAATGGACTCCACCTAAACAGGGCTGGCAACACGAATAAATACAACAACAACAACAACAAGATTCCATTTATAGAGCGCCTTTCACATCGGGAGGACGTCCCAAGGCGCTGGACAGTTGGGTCAGGACCCGAGCAGGGGTGAAATGGTCAGGGTGAGGGAAGGGAAGGAAGGGAGCGAGGAGGGAGGTAGACAGGGCTTTAAACTACTAAGGGTGGGGGGCAAATTCAATCACATGCAATCCGTCACAATTAAAATTAGGACCGATCAAAGTAGGGGAGCAGATTAACCAGAGAGATGAACCAAGTGTGCCAAGCGGGGAAAGGAAGCCCAGGGATAGGGTACTGGTGAATAGGACTAATAGCCCGAAGTCAGAATTAAAGGTGCTATATCTGAATGCGCAAAGCATTCGAAAGATGGATGAGTTAAATGCACAAATAGAAACAAACAGGTATGATCTGGTAGCCATCACCGAGACATGGTTACAGGGAGATCAAGGGTGGGAGTCAAATATTTCAGGGTATGTGGTGTATAGAAAAGATAGGCGATGTGGTAAACGAGGAGGGGGGTGGCCCTGCTAATAAAGGATGGAATAAAAACAGTAGAGAGGAAAGATTTTAAATCAGAAAAGCAGGAAGTAGAGTCAGTATGGATAGAGGTACGTAACAACAAGGGGCAGAAAACTCTAGTGGGAGTAGTTTATAGACCCCCGAACAGCAGTCACAGTATCTCTCAACGTATAAATCAGGAAATTAGCAGAGCATGTAGCAAAGGAAAAACATTAATTGTAATCTGCACATTTTAATCTGCACATAGATTGGGACAACCAAATTGGGAAAAGTATGATAGAGGAAGAGTTTATAGAATGTATTAGGGATAATTATCTAGATCAGAATGCCGAGGAGCCAACCAGGGAACAGGCCACATTAGACCTTGTTTTGTGCAATGAAGCAGGACTGATCAGCAAACTGGAAATTAAGGCTCCTCTAGGGCAAAGTGATCATAATATGATGGAATTTAGCATTGTTAGAGAGAGAAGTAGTTAAGTCCGAAGCAAAGGTTTTAAATTTAAGTAGAGCCAATTTTGCTGGTATGAGAGAGAATTTAGCCAAAATAAACTGGGAAATTAGACTTAAGGATTTGACAGTAGACCAGCAATGGCAGACGTTTAAGGAGATAGTGCAAAATTCCCAGCGAGCACGTATTCCTTTGAGGAATAAGAATGCCACGGGAAAGGTGGCCCAACCGTGGCTAACTAGAGCAGTTAGGGAAAGTATAAAGTTAAAGGAAGAAGCCTATAAAACAGCTAAGATGAGTAGTAAACCCGAGGATTGGGAGAACTTTAGGGATCAACAAAGGAGAACCAAAAAAGTGATTAAGAGGGAGAAAATGGAATATGAGGGCAAACTAGCGAAGAACATAAAGACAGACTGCAAGAGTTTTTATAAATATATAAAGAGGAAGAGGCTGTCAAAGGTAAATGTGGGTCCGCTACAGGCAGAGACGGGGGAATTATAGTAGGGGACAAAGACATGGCAGAGTCATTAAACAAGTACTTTGCTACTGTCTTCACCTTAGAAGACACTGAAAACCTACCAAGAATAGAGGGGAACCAAGAAGACAATGTTAGCGAGCAACTTGGGGAATTAATATTAGTAAAGAAATGGTTTTAGGTAAATTGTCAGGTCTTAAAACTGATAAATCTCCTGGACCTGATGGCCTACATCCTAGGGTTTTAAAAGAGGTGGCTACTGAGATAGTGGATGGCTTGTCTTTGATCTTCCAAAATTCTCTGGATTCTGGAACGGTTCCCATTGATTGGAAGATTGCAAACGTAACACCACTATTTAAGAAGGGTGGGAGAGAAAAGATGGGGAACTATAGACCAGTTAGTCTGACTTCAGTGGTAGGGAAAATTCTTGAGTCCTTAATTAAAGATGTCGTTATGGGATTCCTGGAAGACCATAAAAAGATTAGGCAGAGTCAACATGGCTTTACAAAAGGGAAGTCATGCTTAACTAATCTTTTAGAGTTTTTTGAAGATTTACCTAGCAGGTTAGATAAGAGTAGATGTAGTACATTTAGATTTTAGAAAGGCATTTGACAAAGTGCCACACAAAAGTCTATTGCACAAGGTTAAGGCCCACGGAATTAATGGGAACATATTAGCATGGATTGAAGAGTGGCTAACGGGTAGAAAACAGAGAGTAGGGATAAACGGGTCATTCTCGAATTGGCAGGATGTGACTAGTGGAGTGCCACAAGGATCAGTGCTTGGGCCTCAGCTATTTACAATTTACATCAATGATCTAGACGAGGACATTGAATGTAACATATCTAAATTCGCGGATGACACTAAACTAGGTGGGAGAGTAAGCTCTGAGGATGATGCAAAAAGATTGCAACGGGATATAGATAGGCTAGGGGAGTGGGCGAGTAGGTGGCAGATGGAATTTAATGTGGGGACGTATAAAGTTATTCATCTAGGTAGAAAAATAGAAAAACAGATTATTTTCTAGAGGAGTTGAGATTAGATAGTGTTAGTGTGCAGAGGGATTTGGGTGTCCTTGTACACCAGTCTCAAAAAGTTAGTTTGCAGGTGCAGCAGCAACTAAGAAGACGAACGGCATGTTAGTGTTCATTGCAAAAGGTTTAGGGTACAAGTTTAGGGAAGTGTTGCTGCAACTGTATAGGGCCTTGGTGAGACCGCATCTAGAGTATTGTGTGCAGTTTTGGTCTCCTTATTTAAGAAAGGGCATACGTGCCCTAGAGGGGTGCAGCGTAGATTCACCAGGTTAGTTCCTGGGATGAGTAGACTGACCTATGAGGATAGGCTGAATAAACTAGGGCTATATTCTCTAGAGTACAGAAGAATTAGGGGGATCTTATTGAAACATATAAGATTCTAAAAGGGCTGATAAAGTAGACACTGAGGGTCTGTTTCCCCCGGTAGGAGAATCTATAACCAGGGTCACAGTCTTAAAATTAAGGGTCAGCCTTTTAAACAGAGTTGAGGAAACATTTCTTCACTCAGAGGGTAGTGAATTTATGGAATTCACTACCCCAGAAGGCTGTAGATGCTTAGTCCTTGAACATCGTCAAGGCTGAGACTGATAGATTTTTGAAAAATAGAAGGATTAGGGGAAATGGGGATAGGGCAGGTAATAAGAGTTAGGTCTGAAGATCAGCCATGACCTTATCAAATGGCGGGGCAGGCTCGAGGGGCCAAATGGCCAATCCTGCTGCTAATACTTATGTTCTTATGTGCACCGGAGTTCTGAATTAGTTGAATTTTGTTGATAGTGGAGCTGGGAAAACTGGACAGACTACATTGGAATAATCGAGGCAGGAACCACATAATGTACTATACTAGAGTATGTTGTACAGTGGCATGGACACCCAGGGCTCGGGCACTGTTAGTGCTGTCACACATGTTCATTACAATCAAAATACTGGAGCAAACACTCCCACTTACACCTCCGTGTTGCAATAAATAACCTTCAAATATTTAAGTGAAAAATATCCAAATCCAGATTCTTAAACCTCGAAAGACATATATCTAAAACTGTTTTCGTATAGAGAGTAGTGGCGAACAGTTGTTTTTCTGACTGAAGGGAGGTGTGCGATGGTTCCCCCCCAGGGTCAGTATTGGGCTCACTTCTGTTTTTGATTGATATAAATGACCTGGAATTGGATATAGGGAGTACAATTTCCAAGTTTGCCAATGATACTAAGATAGGAAAAGTAGTAAACAGTGAGGAGGATAGTAGCAGACTTCATTTAGATAATTATTTGGGGAGGACAAGTTTGCAGGGCTATGGGGAGAGAGCGGGAAATGGGATTGAATGGATAGCACTATTTAAAGAGCCGGCACCGACACGATGGGCCAAATGGCCTCCTTCTGTGCTGTATAATTCTATGATTCTATGAAGGGTACATAGACAGACTGGTAAAATGGGCAGACACATGGCAGATGAAGTTTAATGTGGAGAAATGCAAAGTGATGCATTTGGGAAGAAGAATGAATAAGCTAATGGTACAATCTTAAAGAGGGTGAAGGAACAGAGAGACAAAATTACATTTATATAGCGCCTTTCACGTCGGGAGGACTTCCCAAGGCACTGGACAGACAGAGTTTCGGACCCAAGCTGAGGATTGGGTTGGGAAGTGGGGTATAAGTAAACTTTTGAAGGTGGCAGGATAGGTAGATAAAGCTGTTAAAAAAGCATACGGGATAGTAGGCTTTATAAATGGGGACAGAGAACACAAAAGTCAGGAAGTTCTGATGAACCTTTATAAAATACTGGTTAGGCCTCAGCTAGAGTACTTAGTTCAGTTCTGAGCACCACACTTTAGGAAGGGCGTCAAGGCATTGGAGATGGTGCAAAGGAGATTTACCAGGATGGTACCAGGAATGAGGGACTTCAGTTATCAGGAGAAGCTGGAAAAGCTAGGATTATTCTCCTTGGAGCAGAGAAGGTTAATAAGAAGGTCCACTGTCAAATCCTGAAGTCTAATTTCCCAGTTTATTTTGGCTAAATCCTCTATCATACCAGCAAAATTGTCTCTACTTAAATTTGAAACCTTTGCTTCGGACGTAACTATTTCTCTCTCTAACTTAATGCTAAATTCCATCGTATTATGATCACTTTGCCCTAGAGGAGCCTTAATTTCCAGTTTGCTGATCAGTCCTGCTTCATTGCACAAAACAAGGTCTAATATGGCCTGTTCCCTGGTTGGCTCCTCGGCATTCTGATCTAGATAATTATCCCTAATACATTCTATAAACTCTTCCTCTATCATACTTTTCCCAATTTGGTTGTCCCAATCTATGTGCAGATTAAAATCACCCACAAGTAATGTTTTTCCTTTACTACATGCTCTGCTAATCTCCAGATTTATACCTTGAGAGATACTGTGACTGCTGTTCGGGGGTCTATAAACTACTCCCACTAGAGTTTCCTGCCCCTTGTTGTTACATAGTTTGCAGTGCTATGGGAGAGAGCGGGAGAGTGGGATTGATTTGGAAGCTCTTTTCAAAAAGCCGGCACAGACACGATGGGCCGAATGGCCTCCTTCTGTGCTGTATAATTCTATGCTTCTGATTCTCAGCTGTAAGGATCCAACTGTTAGCACTCACAGAGAAAGGTGTCTCAGCTGAGGTCCTTGTAGCTCAGTGTAACACTAACCATATTTGGTATTAAATTAGCAATCACAGACTGCAGTGAAAGGTATTGGTGGTGTCATGAGTGTTGTGTTAGGTATGTTCTATAGGGTGATCACTCCACCTCGCCCCCTCCTTACCCTCCTACTAGTCCTGCCTCAAAACCCTCCTTTTCGACCATGCCATTGGTCACTCCCCCTTTCCCTTCCCCACTCTTCTCCCTCTCTGACCCCAGCTCGGGTCTGAAATGCTGTACACTGACCAACGCCTTGGGATGTCCTCCTGACGTGAAAGGTGCTATACAAATGTAACCTTGTTGTTGTTGGTTGTTCTGTGTAATTTGGAGCCCAGTGTGTTATACTAAGTGAGAAGTGTTTGAAGCTGATGAGGGAATTTAACTATGTTTTCCCCTCAGGATTGATGTCGGTCACCCAGGTGAGCCCAAATAGTGACAGGAAAATAACTGCAGTAAATTGTAGTGAGGTCTGAATCCTCTGATCTGCACAATTATCTCCTATATTACAGCTGTTGTGGTGGCCCAGACCCATCCCTAAACACACAGGCATCTTCCTGCTTCCCTGTGTGCACACGTGTCTGTTTATTTATGTGTGTCTATTTGAACCAATGAGAGTTAAATATTAAAATAATCCTTGCATTTGATATAGTGCCTTTCACATCAGGAGGGCTTCCCAAAACTTAAGATTTACTGTAAAGTGCGGAATTGACTGGGGATATGTAGGCAAACGCAGCACATTGTGCAAATTGTGCACAAAATGTCTCACAAACAGCCATGAAATGAATCACCAATTTTATTCGGGGATTGTTGGCCAGGATGCCAGGAGAAACTGCCTTCTCTTTTTGAATAGCGTCACAGAATCGTTAACATCCATCTGAACCTGCAAACTGAACCTTCGTTTAATGTATCATCCAAAGGACGACACCTCTAACAATGTAGCACACCCCCAGCATTGCAGTGGACTGTCACCTTAGATGCTAATTTATGTTCCGATGTGGGACTTGAACCTTTTTATCTGATTCAGAGGCGAGAATGCTACCTCTGCCCCAGGCTGCCATCAGAGGCTCTGTATCATGGCTGTTTCAGGACTAGAAGATGATAGCTTTCCTCTGATGTGTTATAAGAGATAGGGCCAGCCTGGCTCTGTTGGTAGCACTCTCGCCTCTGAGCCTAAATTCTCCCCACATCAGAGACTGAACTCACAGTCTAGGTTGACGCTCCAGGAAAGTGGCATTATGGCAGGTACCACCTTCGGATGTGATGTTAGCTGAACTTCTCTTGACATCTTGTGATGTTAAAGTGAGATCCCATCTGCCTGTTTAGGTGAATGTTAAACGATCATGATTTGACATGGTTTGAAAAGTAAAGGCAGTTCTCTCTCCCGGTGTCCTGGCCCACAATTCCCCGCATAAAATTGATGACTCACTCCATGGCCGTTTGTGGGATGTTGCTGTTCGCAAACTACCTGCCACTTTTGCCTATAAATAGTCATTATGTTTGACAGCAATTACCTGTGAAGCACTTTGAGATATTTTGATGTTTTAGGTCCATATCAAACGGTAGGATTATTTATTTATAGAGTCTTGAATTCTTAAAAAAAAAGTAACAATCTCACATCTGACAACTGGAGCGATGATGACTGATTAGAAAGGGAGACACTTTTCCTGGAGGGCATCGAGCTATTCCTGGAATGGATTCTGCCCTGAGGTGGGACTTGTGCAGGACAAGAGCCTCTTTGTTTCCATGTGTCGCCCTAACCACCTGCTTACTGACTGTGGAAAGCTCGGTCACCCCAGTGGTGTATGTGAATGTTTGCAGTGTGTGAGCTTATTGTCTGATGTGCCTACAGGTTACACACTGGGCAAAGTGTGTCAGCCAGGCTCAGTGGTAGCACTTGCCTTTGAATCAGAAGTTTGTGGGTTCAAGCCACCCATCAGGACTTGGAATCACATAGTCTAAGCTGTGAATACACAAACACTACAGAACATTTACTCCAGTGCTTTGAGACATTTTGACAAGTGATAAGGCACTGCACTATCAAATGCAAGGATTATTATTATTGTTAAAACAAACCTACATAACACGTCCTACAGAACACCCATTGTATTACTGACAACTTTCAGTGCAGTATAGTCCTGGGGTGTGTTGCATTGTCGGAGATGCTATCCTTTGGATGAGATGGATGGGTGTGGGGTGTTTGGTATGGGGGGAGTTAGGGGGAGGGGATTATGCTGTACAAAAACGTGGGACCTTACCTGAGGCTGGAGATGTGAACTCAACAATGAATGGCTCTCTAGAGAAGGCATCCTCATCACCGGGCTGCAGGTCGTCATACTGCAAAAGCCTCTTCACCTGCACCACAGTGTCACTGGGGAGACAGGACAAACACCTTCACTAATGATCAAGCACACTAGCACGCTACCCTGCATGAGGGGTGCTATATAAACGCAAGTGTTGTTGTAGCGCCTTATCACGTTGACAAGACTTAGGGCTTCACAGGATATCTGTAAAGTGGTTTTGAGTGTATTCCATGAGCAAAACGCAGTAGCCTACTTGCGCACAGCAGTATCCCACAAACAACCATGGAGTGAATGAATGATCATAGTTAATGGAGTGAGTGAATGATTGGGGGACTGTTGGCCTGGACACTAGGAGAGAGAAACTCCAATCTGTTTTCAAATAGTGCCATGGGATCTTTAACATCCAGCTGAATAGGTAAGACGGGACCTCGGTTTAATGTCTCATCCAAAAGACGGGACCTCTCACAATGCAACACCCCCCCAGCGCTCTACTGGAGTGTCAGCTAGACTATATCATTCCCCGACATGGGGCTTGAACCCACAACCTTATGACTCAGAGGCGAGAGCACTACCACCAAACCAGGCTGACACACGAACTTTGCGATCCCTCAATGGAAGAGCAACCAGGTTATTCCTCAATAATTTATCCACCATCTACACATCACACCAGCTCGAAGCATTTGAAGTTGATCTGATGTTGAGTCTCCATTTCTCAGCCTTCCTTGTCCCTGAGTTTTAGCTTCTGTGGAGAATCTCTCCCTAACGCCTCTCCTCTGTGACTCCCTGCTGTTTTTCAGCCAACACATTTCTGAGTATTTATTCAAAGCAAGTACCTCTACGCGTTGTTGCTAATATTACATTTTAATATTAATCTTTAATATTAAATAATAATAATAAATGCAAGGATTATTATTATATTATTTTGCGCTGGCCCCTGGGTGAGGAGGAGAAAAGCCAAAGAGGTCCACTTGCTAATTGCTAGCCTGAGATCCCCTGCTGGGGGATGTCTAGATGCCAGGTGAGGACAGATCACAACAACAACAACAACAACAACAAGATTCCATTTATAAAGCGCCTTTCACGTCAGGAGGACGTCCCAAGGCGCTGCACAGTTGGGTCATGACCCGAGCAGGGGGTAAATGGTCAGGGTGAGGGGAGGGAAGGAGCGAGGAGGGGGGAAATGGTCAGGGTGAGGGGAGGGAAGGGAGGGAGCGAGGAGGGGGAAGAGAGTCGAGAGGGGAGCTGAAGGCTCGGTCAAAGAGAAAGGTTTTGAGACCGGCCTTGAAGGAGGAAAGGGAGGAAGCAAGGCGAAGGCACTGGGGGATGGAGTTCCAGAGCCTGGGGGTCAGGGCTTGACTCCCAGTGTCTCATGCTATTCAGTCTCTGTCTCCCTCCCTCCCCGGGTCTCTGTCTCCCTCCCTCCCTCCCCGGGTCTCTGTCTCCCTCCCTCCCCAGGTCTCTGACTCTTTTCCTGTGTTTCTCCATATCACTATTATTATCTCTCCATATCTATCTCTCTCCCTCTTTTTCTTAATATGTATCTCCCTTTGTCTCTGTGCCCCTCTTTCTATTTCCCTCCCTCTCTCTTGCCTTGAGCATGTGTTTATGTATGTTTCTCTCTCTTATGTGTGTCTTTCTCTTCGAGTGTGTGTCTGTCTCACTCTCTCTCTCCCTGCATATGTCTCTATTTTCTGTTTCTCTGTCTCTCCCCGTCTTCTATCTCACTCTGTATCTCTCTCTCGACCCTGTCTGTCTATGTCTCTACAGGTAGAAATCACTGAAAGATAAGATTTAATCTGTTTATAACCTCTACTATTAGCATTTACTAGTCGTCAGCTTGACAGTGAGAGCCCAGGAGACCTTGACATTTGAATAATGAACCTCTAAGAAGCAATGATCACTGAGTCGATAGTTAATATCTCAACACTGATCGCGATGAACATAAACGTTCCTGAAATCTTTGGGTAACAGCAAATGAAGATCTGCTAGCCACCAAAGTAATCAGCGAATAATAGAGAACAAGCAGGTAAAGTAATTATTTTACAGATGATGTGATGGTCTGGCTGTAGCCACCTGGCAATGCGTGCTGAGAGCAAGGCAGGCAGCAGGAAGTGGCAATCGGAACCCTGCCCTTTGGTGTCCCCTGCGGTTCCTTTGTGTCCGGCCAGCTGGCGGGGGGTGCTTAGCTGCCTGGCTTCTCCCCCCTCCGCCTCACAGACACCACCCCCACACCAAAACTACAGTTGTAGGGGAGTATGGTTCCTTTCTGAAGTCTCCGTTGGAAGGCCAGCTTAGTCGGTAACTCTGAATCAGAAGCTTGTGGGGTCAAATCCCGCATCGGGACTTTGAGCTCACAGTCCATTCTGACACTGAATCTAGTACCGGGGGCTGCACATTGTCAGAACTGCTGTCCTTGAGATGAGACAATAAACTGAGGTCCTGTCTGCATGTTGGGGTGGATGTTAAAGATCCCGTGACACTGTTTGAAAAGAGATGGGAGTTTCTCCCAGTGTCCTGGCCAACAATCCTCCTACATTGTCTGTTGTGAGCAAACTGGCTGCTATGTTCACAAATATACAGTCAGACATTTTGGTGCGGATCAAATGCAAGGCTTAATATATTATTGCTACTGTTCACACACAGTTTTCACTAACATTCAATAACCCTGATCATCTCAATGTTCGAGCACCTGCATTACATATTTGACCCATAAGCAGAGAAGACACAAACATGTGAGGTGTGTGCAGGTAAATACAATATCATTTATATTTATGCAGCACATTTCATGTCAGGAGGATCACTTTCCAGGGGTAATAATCTCTTTAAAAAAATTGGTCACTCAATTCACGACTCTTTGTGGGACACATCTGTGTGCAATTCGGTGCTGGGTTTCACCCACAAAATATACAGCCAATCAACTTTACAATATATTCTGTGAAGTACTTTGAGACATCTCAACAACAACTTGGATTTCTATAGCGCCCCCCACGCTGGATAGCGTCTCAGAGCGCTTTACAGTAACGGATCCCAGGGCTGAGCCAGGGGGAGGGGGGAGGAAAGTGACCAAAGGCACGGTCGAAAATAAAGGTCTTCAGCAGAGACCTGAAAATGGGAAGGGATGTGATGAAGGGCTATATCAAATGCAAGGGGGCTAAGCTGCCTGGTTTCGTTGGCTGGACACCCAAGTTGGATGGGGGAAGATGACCGAAAGAGTGCTCAAAGTGAGACATGCCTTGAACAGGGGTTGGAGAGAATGAGTTGGAGGGACTCCACAATAGAACTCCATAGAGTGGGGACAGAATGGCTGAAAGCTCACCCGCCAGTGATGGGAGGGGCAAGACTGTGGAGGGAGGGGTTTGAATCTGCACCCGTAAGGCATGTTCAGGTAAAAATACACATACAAAATGCATTTACCAGTGAAGAAACACACACAATCGAGGTATGTACACGAGAAGATGCTGTAAGTCTTCTGCTGCTGTTACCACGGTTATCACCCCCTCGCCGTGAGCTGTCAATCAAATCCACTTTAATCCAGCCCCACAAAAGCTGTCAGTAATACAGCTCTGGTTGAAGTGGTAAATTGCACGCAGGGATTTGTGAGTCAGATAGATCACAGGGAACAGCCTCAGTGCCTTTGATGGCAGACAGAACTGCGTCCAATTAGTGCTCTCCACAGAAGCAATTCACGAAGAATGAGCGCAGGAACCTGTGATTGAGTCCATCAACCGTCATTTGGAAGCTAACATCACACAACAGCCGGCTTGTTAACTCAGCATGCTGTGATAAGGATCGGTTGGTCTGCTTGTCACAGCTGGTAAAGTATTCAGCTCAGACAGGGAGAGAGAAATGAAAATTGGGTGTTTTCTTTCAAACCTTTAAATCATTTGTGATTTAAATTTAGGGGTAGAACAGGAACAACGCAATACAATTTCTGTTCCTACAACACCTTTCATGTCCGGACCCGCAATGCACATGTGCAATGGTGGGTGCAAGATGGAGTTTATTTCCAGGTGCCCTGGCCAACAATCCCCCAAATAAAATTGGTCACTCCATGGCTGTTTGTGGGACATTGCTGTGCAATAAATTGGCTGCTGTGTTTACCCATAAAATACAGTCAATTCATTTTACAGTTAATAATAATAATCCTTGTATTTGATGTAGCACCTTATCACTTCGTTGAGATGTCTCAAAGCGCCTTACAGAATATACTGTACAGTGGATTGACTGTATTTTGTGGCCGAAACGCCTACAAATTACACATTAATCCTGTGAGGCGCTTTGAGATGTCCTCCTGACAGGTATGCACAATATCAGATGTAAGGATTGTGGTTGGTGTTGCTTGCTTGCGGGTTATGTGAGAATCGCTCACCGATAGAGAAAGAGGTACTGTTCCTTATAACTCCCACGGCCCAGCGGTTTGCTCAGTACGGAGGAATAGTGGTGATCTTTAGAGTTCCTGCAAAGATGATAAATAGCACAGAGTTAAACACAGCCAAGCCTCTCGACATGACACTTCAGCTTAGCTCCCTGGGCAGGAAGTGCCGAAAGCCAAGAGATTGGAAGCAAGCTTCCCCATGCTCCGAGTTGCTACCCTACACAAAGGCGCTATATATGTGCAAATCACTGTGGGGAATTATCTTTGCTTTTTTCACTTCAGATCTTACATTTTAAGTGGTCTGCTAGCTACAACCAGGGGAACCTACAGGCCTCAGATAATGTCGATGTAGAGGTTTGAGATGAGACAATGCAATGAGGAAGCAGACATGGTGCAGAATCCCACCAAGAATAAAATGTTCCTCAAAATGTATCTGAATTGTATCATATAGCTCAGTGGTTAGAGCACTCGCCTTACAAGCGAGACACCTGAGTTCAATTCCAGGCAGGGCAAAACCTTGGGCAAGTTTCCTTACTCCACACGCCTAATAATAATCCCTCCAAAACAAAACAATAATAAATTGGTCATTTTCAATCCACGACTGTTTGTGGGACACTGATGTGCGCAATTGGCTGCCGTGTTTCGCCCACAAATATACGGTCAATTCACTTTTCAGCATATTCCATGAAGCGCTTTGAGACGTGAAAAGCGATCTATCAAATGCAAGATTATTATTATTATGCAGTATGTGAGGGTTGTATCAACACAGCTTCTATTCCGTTGAACTGAACATTTCCAGAGGAAGTGTCTGCCCAATGAATCTCTTAGAGTATCAAGCTTTGTTCATTTTAACATTTAAATCACTTTCTGATTGCTTCCACCAGCTATCACATCCTCAATCCAGATTATGTTCAGCCTGATGGTGGGCTTTTTACCTGCTGGAGATTAGTCATTATGCAGCCCTTGCGAAGGACTCCTGTCAGGAAGACTCCTATCCCACCTCCTGTGATAAACCCTACGAACCCCAGGGAAATTGACACTTGATTGGACAATCCACATCTTTTGGTGCTGCCTAGTGTTTGGCGTGGATTTCTCAATCATTCCCAATGCAACCATCTGTCATACTTTGTGGCATCTTTCATCTCGTTGGACGACTGAATAGTAGACGCTGAGTTATTCGGAACAGGAACAGCTAATAGCTCCCCTACAGGCATACAACTGGTGGGACCTCTGCTCCTACACAATCTACTGGCTATCGACATCCTAGCTGGTCAGAGGGACGCACTTCAAGTAACCCAGCTGCCTTACCTTTGCTCCTCTGATACTCCTGTAAGGGGAGCGCTGCATTGTCCAAGGTGCCGTCCCATTCAGGTTTATGTCATGTTTCCCATGGCATTATTCGAAAAGAGAAAGGAGTTTCCAAAATTGTCACTCTGTGGAAAATTGGCTGCTGCATTCATCTACAAATCACTATACTTCACAGTATATTCTGTGAAGCTCTTTGAGACATCTAGACGTGAAAGGCATTATACCAAATGTAAGGATTATTTTAATTTTATTGTTATTAAATATGCAGCTGATCCAATATAAGAACTTTGAAACTGAGAAGCATTACACCTTGGGATGTCCTCCCGACGTGAAAGGCCCTATACAAATGTAATTTTGTATTGTATTTACACTGCACCACAGTGCTAGGTTTAGTCTCCTCTCAGGGGCTTATCCAATGGAGTACACAGAGTCTCGGAGCCAGCTCTCCAATCCAATCTAATGTAGAGAAGCCACATCACACCAGCAAACCCAGGGGAAGGGGAGAAGATCAAGGAATGGCTTGAGAAAAGCTGGCTGGTGTTTAACTAACTCTGGCCGAGCCAAACACAGGGCTTTTTCCGCTCTCTTCACAATTACTTACTTATTCAACTCCTGATTCAGGATTTCCACTGCCTCGCCTGTCCGGTCCGTCACCTCCATGATCAGGATTATATCGTAGCGCATCACAATCTGTACAAGCAGAATCTTGGTGAATTCCCCAGAGGCCTCATCAGAGACATCACATAATATACAGTCTGAGCTTTATTCTGCTTTCTAGATAGTGTGCATGAAACATCACAAAGAGATTTCAACCCATGATAGCATTCTCACCCCTACATCAGACGGTTCTGTATTCTAGCCCCACGTTGACTGAGTTTGAACCCACATAGTCAAAGCTGACACTCCAGTGTGGTGCTGGGGTTGTGGTGACATTGTTCGAAGTTGTACCATCCTTCAGGTAAAATGTGAAACTAAGGTTCCATCTGCCTGTTTGGTGGATGTTAAAGATCCCATTGAACTGCTCAACAGAATAAAAGTTTCTCCTAATGGACAACAATCCTCCAAATAAAATTGATCTTTTACTTCATGACTATTTGTGGGATGTTGCTCTGGCTGCGCAAAACACAGGACTTTCTCCGTTCTGTGCTGTGCACAAATAGGTTGCTGTATTCACCTACAAAATACACTTTACAGTTTATCCTGTAAAGTGCTTTGAGACGTCCTCCTGGTGTGAGGATTATTATTCTTGTTTCCCTCCATTGAAATTGTTCCTGTTTAAGTGTGAGGGCTTATTATATCCCTGGAGGGATACATCCTGTTTACTAAATTCTGGAAAGTTGTAAATGATTGGATTGGGACGGGGTGGGTAATGTAGCAAGCCTGTTGGGACAAGTGCATTATTGGTAGCTGAGGTGTTACCAGTAATAACACAAAACCATTTGTGAGACAATTATTACCCAACTCTCAGTCGAAAAATAAAATACCTTATTTTGGTTTCCCAACTCACTCACGCCCCAAAATGTGTCACACCTCACAGACACACACTGGATCAGTACACAAAGTGTGCGTTCCCTGCATAGTTCTGAGCGCCTCACCTGTTCCACTTTTGCTGAACTTTGCTTCTCTGAGACAAGCATGAGTGTGACAGATTGGGTCACCATGTTCAGGCCCTAGCATTGAACTTTACCAAGCCGTCAACAACAACAACTTGCATTTATATAGCACCCTCCACGCTGGGTGGCATCTCAGAGCACTTAACAATGGCGGAGCCAGAGGCCGAGCCAGGGGAAGGGGGAAGGTGACCGTAGGCACGGTCAAAGTGAAAGGTCTTTAGGAGTGACCTGAAGATGGGGAAGGAGGGGGCGAGGTGAAGAGGTTGAGGGAGGGAGTTCCAAAGTTTCAAGCCATAGTGGCTGAAGGCATGGTCGCCGATGTTGGAGCGGAGAACTCGGGGGGCACAGAGGAGACCGGACCCAGTGGAGCTGAAGCAGTGGGTACTGGTGTGGGGAGAGAGGAGATTAGAGAGATAGGGGGTGCCAAGGAATGGAGGGATTTAAACACTAGAGTGAAGAACTTGAAGTCGATCCACTCTGTGACAGGGAGCCAGTGGAGTTTGGCAAGGACTGCAGTCTACAACAACAACAACAAAATTACATTTATATAGCGCCTTTCACGTCGGGAGGAAGTCTCAAAATGCTTCACTGTAAAGTTCAGCGACTGGATTTGTAGGCAAATGTGGCAACCAATTTGTAACATTATAATTATACACACATGCACACAAGTGTGGTAACTAGTGAAAGTGGTATACATATGTGAATACTCACTTTGTTTGGTTACTCTGAAGCAGGGCCATGGGTCCCCACTTGGCAGACACCCAGCTGATCCCTCCAAAATTATACACAGTAACATGTGATTATGATTTTCACATCAAACTGTTTCACAGGGAATTGCTGTAAACCAGTGACAGTGTTTTGTGGGTAATTTGCACTAACAGCCATGAATCTGCATTAACAGTCAGGTCATCCTCCTGACGTGAAAGGCGCTTTACAAATATAATTTGTTGTTGTTGTTGTTGAAGTGAATGACTAATTATATTTTATTGGTCAGGACACTGAGAGAGAAACTCCCTTCTGATTTTAAATAATGCCGTGGGATCTTTAACGTCCATTTGAACAGGCAGACTGGAATAGGCAGAACCCAGAGAGTGGGGGATGGGATTGGATTGGAAGCTCTTTTCAAAGAGCCGACACAGACGCGATGGCCCGAATGGCCTCCTTCTGTTCTATGATTCTATGATGCAGGACCTTGGGACTAGAGTGAAACAATGTTTAACCAGGAGTAAATTTTAAAATAACTACAAGTGAAGCCAGTTATAGATACCTTTGATATACAACCAACTTCCAGCGCTGACTAGGTGTCATCCAGTGAAAAAAGAAAAGACAGGGGCCTTTTGACATACTTCCTGTATGAAATGTGTCCTGCAGCGTTTCTGTTGCTAAAGAGGCAATTTTATACACTAACTGTAGTGACCTGTGTTTGCCCAGACAGGAATGCTATTTGTTCTGTGCTGCAGTTTGCCTGACATTGAGTGCCAGGATAGGGGTTGTTTGTTATAACTGCAACCGTAATGTAAGGGTCTGTGCCTGAAATAACTTGTTTAAAAATTCCAAACTTATTACTGCTAACTGTGCTGTCTATACCTGAGAGAGGAGTCTTGTTCTGTGGGGAGATGGGAGGTGGGAATGAAATCAATCTGTGGGGAATGGATTGAAGGAGAGAGGGGATAGAGTCTAGTTCTGTGGGGAGTGAGGCAAGAGGGATGGAGCTAGGGAGGGATGAGGAGCAAGGGAGGGAGCGGGGAAGCGAGCGAGGGGATGAGTCTTGTTCTGTGGGGAGGGATGTGTTAGTGTCTCACTGTGCACAGTAATACTCACATTGATGATGGTTGACAGGACTTTGGGTTTGGAGATCTTGTTTGTCCCAAAACGTTGGATGTTGAACGCAGCAATTTTCATTGTCACTTGCTGCAAGTAATTAATTGAAGAATCTAAACAAAACACAAACATTTCTCAAAATCTAAACCTCAACAGCACAGGACTCACCACAGATTTCTGTCACTTTAAAATGAAATTTCTGAAATGTCCCCTCTTTCTATGTAACTCTTTTCCATTTCTTCCCCTCTCTCTAACTCGCTTTGCTCCACCTGAAAAGTATTTCCATGTTGTACCCTGTTTGTGGACTTTAAAAGATGAAGTAACCAGTTATCTGGAGGAGGAGAGTAAAATTAAGTGGCGACAACAAGGATTGATGAAAGGAAGGCTCTGCTTGACCAACTTTATCAAATTCTTTGAATATGTAACCAATAAAGTAGATGCAGTGGCTGTAATGTACCCAGATTTCTAGAAGGCCTTTGATAAAGTGAAAGGCCATAATTGGGACTATAATACTATAATTGGGGCATATATAATTGTGGGAGATGTAGCAGAATGGATTAAAGAATGGTTAGGAAAACAAAAGCAAAGGATAGAACTTAAGAACATAAGAATTAAGAGCAGGAGTTTGTCATTCAGCCCTTCTAGCCTGCCCGCCATTCAATAAGATCATGGCTGATCTATTCTCACTCCACCTACCCGTCTTATCCCCATATCCCTTAATCCCTTTATCCACAAGAAGTTAATAGGAGTTAAGGTTCACCATATACACAAATCAATTGGATTCAATATACAAGTTGTGGTGTTAAAAAGATGGCTGAGATCTTACAAGGAGAGTATCAGAAGCTAGGGAAAAATCTAAAGAGTAGGACTTCAAACGTGGTGATCTCTAAGTTACTCTCAGTGCCTCGTGTGAGTATCAAAACAGCAGGATCAAACACATGAATGTATGGCTGGAGAAATGGTGCAGAAAGGAGGGTTTCAGGTTCCTGGATCATTGGGACCAGTTCTGGGGCAGGTGGAACTTGTACAAGATGGATGGGTTACACCCAAACAGGGCTGGGACCAGTGTCCTCGCAGGGGTGTTAAATAGTGCTGTGGGGGAAGGGTTTAAGCTAATTTCAAGGGGGGTGAAAGGGAATCAGGATGTAGCATGAGACAAGAAAAATAAGTTACATAGAGGGCTGGGAGAGACGAATAGCAATGCAACAAGGAGTAGTCCAGAAAAAGGAGGGATTAGACAGGGGAGAAATGCACAGCAGACTCAGTCGGTCTTGGAGTGTACGTGCATAAATTCACGAGTGTGCCAAATAAGATTGGTGAACTGTAGGCTCAAGTTGCCATGTGGGGTTATGACTTAGTGGCAATAACGGAGACCTGGCTCAAACAAGGGTAGGAATGGGAGCTGAATATTCTTAGCTACCTAGTTCTGGGGAATGAAGTGGGGCAAGTGGAACAGGTTTCAGTAGGAGAGCATCTGGATAACAGTGATTGCAACATCATTAGGTTTAGAGTGTGTATGGAAAGGGACAAGGAACAATCAAAGGTGAAGATACTCAACTGGAAGAGGACTAATTTCAGTGAGTTAAAAAGGGACCGAGCCAAGATGGACTGGAAAGATAGATTGGCAGGTAAAACAGCTAATGAGCAATGGGAAACCTTCAAGGAGGAGATAATTCAGGGATAGAACAAATACAATCCCTCAAAGAGGAATGGTAGAGCATCCAAACCTCCCTGGATGACTAAGGAAATTGGTATTAAAATAAAACAGAAAAAGGAGGCTTATGATAAGTTTCAGATCCAAAATACAGAATATAATCAAATAGAATATAGAGAATGCAGAGAACTGAAAAAGGAAATAAGAGGGGCAACGTGATTGTATGAGAAAAGATTAGTGGGTAACGTAAAAGGGAACCCAAAAGTATTTTATAAACACATAAAGAATAAAAGGTTAGTCAAAGGTAGGATGGGTCCAATTGGGGACCAAAGAGGAAATCTTGTGGAGGCAGACATGCTGAATGAGTACTGTGCATCTGTCTTCACTAAAGAAGAGGATGCAACCAATGCCACAGTATTGGAGGAGAGGGTGGAGAAATTGGATTAGATAAGAATAAATCGAGAGGAGGTACTAAAAAGGTTGATGGTGCTCAAAGTAGATAAGTCACCTGGTCCGGACGGGATGCATCCTAGATTACTGAGGGAAGTAAGTGTGGAAATAACAGAGGCTCCGGTCACAATGTTTCAATCCTCCTTGGACACCGGGAATGATCCCAGAGGACTGGAGGATTGCAAAAGTTACTGCCCTGTACAAAAAGAGACAGAAGGATAAACCCGGGAACTGCAGGCCAGTCAGCCTAACGTCAGCAGTATGGAAACTTCTAGAGATTATAATCTGGGACAAAATGAATTTTCACTTAGAACAATATGGGCTAATAAAGGATAGCCAACAAGGGTTTGTTAAAGGCAAATCATGTGTAACAAACCTTTTTTGATGAGGTAACGTAGAGGGTGGATGAAGGTAGTGCAGTTGATGTAGTTTATATGGATTATATGATAAAGTGCCACATAAGAGACTTGTAAGCAAAATAGAAGCCCACAGTATTAAAGGGACAGTGGCAGCAGATACAGAACAGACTGGGAGACAGAAAGCAGAGATTGGTGGTGAATGGTTGTTTTTCTGACTGGAGGGAAGTGAGCAGTGGGGTTCCCCAGAGGTCAGTATTGGGACCACTTCTGTTTTTGATCTATATAAATGATCTGGACTTGGGTGTAGGGAGCACAATTTCCAAGTTTGCAGATGATATTATGCTTGGAAAAGTAGTAAACAGTGAGGAGGATAGTAGCAGACTGCAAGCGGACATGGACAGACTGGTAAAATGGGCAGACACGTGGCAGATGAACTTTAATGTGGATAAATGCAAAGTGATGCATTTTGGGAGGAAGAATGAGGAGAAGAAATATAAACTGATGGTACAATCTTAAAGGGAGTGAAGGAACAGAGAGACCTGGGGGTTCATATAAGTAAATTTTTGAAGGTGGCAGGACAGGTAGATAAAGCTGTTAAAAAAGCATACGGGATACTAGGCTTTATAAATAGGGATATAAATGCAAAAGTCAGGAAGTTATGATTAACCTTTATAAACACTGGTTAGGCCTCAGCGAGAGACTGTGTTCAGTTCTGGGCACCACAGTTTAGGAAGGATGTCAAGGCATTGGAGAGGGAGCAAAGGAGATTTACGAGGATGGTACCAGGAATGAGGGACTTCAGTTACCAGGAGAGGCTGGAGAAGCTACGATTATTCTCCTTGGAGCAGAGAAGGTTAAGAGGGGACTTAATAGAAGTTTTCAAAATTATGAGGGGTTCGATAGGGTGAACAAGGAGAAATAATTTCCACTGGCGGGTCGGTCAGTAACCTGAAGACACCGATTTAAAATAGTTGTTAAAAGAAATAGAGGGGAGGTGAGTAAGAATTTTTTTTCACACAGCGAGTTGTTTGGATATGGAATGCATTGCCTGCAAGGGTAGTGGAAGCTGATTCAATAACAATTGTAAGAGAGAAGTAGGTAATTATTTGGGGAGGACAAGTTTGCAGGTTTATGGTGAGAGAGTGCAGGAATGGGATTGATTTGGGTAGCTCTTTTCAAAGAGCCGACAGACATGATGGACCAAATGGCCTCCTTCTTCGCTGTAAATTCTATGATTCTATGAACATTGTAAACAGTGAAGTTGTAAACAGAAGCCGTTTATAGTCTAGAATCTAGATAGTAGGAAACTAAAAGGATTGGAGGAGCAAAGAGAACTGGGGATTCAGATCGACAAATCTCGAAAAGAAGCTGGCCAATGGGGGTTTGGCCTTTATAAAAGTGAGGAGGTGATGAATTTGTTGGTTAGACCATATTTGGAGTATTGTGTCCAATTCTGGTCTCTACACTATAAGAAGGATGTAGCAGCAATGCAAAGAGTACAGGCTAGGTTTACCAGGCTGAAACCAGGTTAGCAGGTTACTGCTATCAGGAAAGACTGGCCTTTTTTTTGCTAGAAGAGGGGACCTAATAAAAGTATTCAAAATGATGAATGTGTTCAACAAGGTTGACATGAATAGGCTGTTTGGTGGAGTCCATAACCAGGGGCCACCAGGATAAGATAGGGACTGGGAATCAAAAAGAAAATTTAGGAGGAACTACTTCACGCAGTATGGAATTCACTGCCTAAAGCAATATTTGAATCGGATAGTGTAGATGCATTCAAGAGGAAGCTAGACCTTCACACGAGGGAGAGGGGAATAGAAGGATGTGGGAGGGAGTAAGCAGTGGATGAAGACTTGCATGGAGTATAAACTATTTGGGCCCAGTAGCCTGTTTTTGTGCTGTATGTTCTTTGTGAATCTTTTCATTCTTTCTCTTGCAGTTTATTCCTTCTCTCTTTCCTATATTTCCCCTTCTCACTTTCCTTCTTTCTCTCTTCTTTTACTCTTTGTCTTTCCAACCCTGTTTATCTTCTCCTTCTCTGTCTCCCCTTTTCTCTCTCTTTCACCTTTCTCTTCCCTCCTTTCTTTTCTATATAAATGCAAGTTGTTCTTGTTGTGGTTTGTCCCTGTCTTTTTCTCTTCATCTCTTGCTCCACCTTCTTTCGTTAGCTCTCTCTCCACTTTCCCTTCCTCTCTCTCTTTCCTTGCCAAGACCTTTCTCTTTGACCGTGCCTTCAGCTCCCCTCTCGACTCTCTACCCCCTCCTTGCTCCCTCCCTTCCCTCCCCTCACCCTGACCATTTCCCCCCTGCTCGGGTCCTGACCCAACTGTACAGCACCTTGGAACGTCCTCCCGATGTGAAAGGCGCTCTATAAATGGAATCTTGTTGTTGTTGTTTCCAGGCTCTCACACCACACCAGTCTATTAAGCCCTTTAATGTAAGACTTTCTATTTGAGTTCTGTTTTATGTGTGTGCAGGCAGGTGTGACATAGGCTGGATTTCGTGAAAAGCGAGGCAGGGCTGGAGTGCAAGACAAGCTGAGACACAATCACAAATAGTGCAATAACAATAACCATAATAATAATCCTTACTTTCAGTAAAGCACCTTGCTTTTGATACAGCACTTCTCATGCAAGGAAGAATCCCAAAATGCTTCACAGGATATACTATAAAGATCAGTGACTATGTCTCACTAATTGAAGCCCCAACTTTCATGACTCAGGTGAGAGTGCTGCCGACTGAGCCAGACTGACACAAAATACTTGATGAGGGTTTGCAATCTACAAGATGCTGCAGCAATGAGAAGTGCCTGTCTGTATGCTCTCACACACTTTACATGTACACACGTCCCAGCCCCTCCTGCTTGAGTCCTATTCCCTGGCTGTTCATCACCTTGGGATGTCCCCCCCCCGACGTGAACAGCATTTTACAAATGCAATTTTGTATTGTATTAGTTTGTTATGTTTTTCACTCCATTCTTAGCACCAGAGGTGCCATTCTTTGGTTCAGACAATAACTGATATCACATGTGCCTTGTCAGGTTGAACATAAAAACAAATTGTGACACTATTGGAAACAACAACAGCAACACCTTGCCCTTATATAGTGCCCTCCACACAGGGTAGCGTCTTAGAGTGCTTAACAGTGGCGGAGCCTCACTCCGAGCCGGGAGTGAGGGAGGTGGCCGTAAGCACAGCCGAAGAGGAAGGTTTTCAGGCAGAACTTGAAAAAGAGGAGAGAGGGAGCAAGACGGAGGGATCGAGGGAGAGTGTTCCAGAGTTTTGGGGCTTAGTGGTTGAAAGTGCAACCTCCGATAGTTCGGCGGAGTGTGCGAGGGATGAGCAGGAGGCCGCTGCCGATCGAACAAAGGCGCCGGGTAGTGGATTGGGGGAGTGAGGAGGTCAGAGAGGTAGGGAGGTGCCAGAGTGAAGGGATTTGAACACAATTATGAAGATCTTGAAGTCAATCCATTCAGTGATGGGGAGCCAGTGGAGCCTGGCCAGAACTGGTGAGATGTGGGTACGGAGTTTGGTCCAGGTAAGTATGTGGGCGGCAGAATTCCGAATGAGCTGGATTTTTTGAATAGCGGAGCTGGGGAGACCTGCAAGTAGGGTATTTGAGTAATCCAAGCGGGAGGCGACAATCGCATGGACGAAGGTTTCAGCTGCATTTGAGGTAAGGTATGGTCGGAGGCGGGCAATGTGGCAGAGGTAGAAGAAGGTGATCCTGGTCAGGGACTGGATGTGAAGGACAGCTAGGGGCACTGGTTCGGTGAGTCTGTGGGAGAGCCCAGGGAGATTGAGGAGTTTAGATCCGCAGGAGTAAAGATGTTGACGGGAACCAAGTAACATGGTTGCCAGACAAGCTGATAGCAGATCAGCAGACCTGGAGTTGGTACTGGAGGAGGCAAAGTAGATTTGTGTGTTATCCACATACATGTGGAAGTTTACCCCGTGGACATCACCCAGAGGGAGCACATAGATGAGGAAAAGAAGAGAGCCAAGGATGGAGCCCTGGTGTACCCCGCAGGTGACCAGTTGGGGGTCGGAGGAGAAACCATTTGCCGAGTTGAAATAGATGCGGTTGTTTAAATAGGACTCAAACCATGTGAGTGTGGTCCCACTAAGGTGGATGAGGGAGATGAGCCGGTGGAGGAAGATGGTATGGTCGATTGTGTTGAACGCGGCAGAGAGATCCAGGAGGATGAGGAGGCAGAGGGAACCCTGGTCACAGATAGAGAGAATGTCGTTTGTGACTTTGAAAAGCGCTGTCTCTGTGTGGGCAGGGCAAAAAACAGACTGTAGGGGCTCGAGGAAGGATTAGAGGGAGACGTGTGACCGAAGTCGACCTTCAACAATGCATTCCAGGAATTTGGCAAGGAAGGGTAGGTTGGAGATGGGATGGTGGTGTGAGAGATTAGAGGGATCGCGGGAGGGTTTTTTGAGGCGGGGTGTGATGACAGCGGTTTTCAGGGGGAGTGGACCAGAGCTTGAGGGGAGAGACTGGTTGATATGGTCGGCCAGCAGTGGGGAGAGACGGAGAGTTGAGTGACCAGCAGCTGGGTGGGGAGGGTGTTGAGGCAGCGGGTGGTGAACTTCATTCAGGTGATTGTGGTTGAAAGGAAGGGGGAGAAATGGGGTAAAACAAGTGTAAGGAGTGGCAGGAGCCGTGGCGGAGGAAGAAGGCGGTGTCGATGATCTGGGTGGGGTGGAAGGGAAAAAGGGGGTGGGAGGACGATGCAGCCAAGTGGATAGGACCACTTTGGACTTGCCGTTTGATGTGAGGATAGAGGGGGCTTGAGGGGGTGCACAGAGGAGGTGAAACAAGAAGGGAGTTGCTCTCTCCTGGTGTCCTGGTCAACAATCACATAGATAAACTTTTCATGCACCCTATGGCTGATTGTGCGAAGGTTTAGGCAGCAATTACTTGTGAACCCCTTTGTGATATTTTGACAAAGGTGCCCTGGAAATGCACATTTTTTTGTTTCCCCTCCTGTCTGAGAATGGGTTGTGCCGAGCACTTAGACAGGAAAACCCTCCTACAGTTTTCTGAAACCCCATTGTCTCACACTGAGTAGAACACTCAACCCACCTGTTCCTGTAGCTTATCAAATGAATCAATCTGAATCTTTGTATTTCCAGGCGGGCCGAAACCTTAGGCAAGTTTCTATACTTCACACGCCTCGGTTTACCTAGCAGTAAGTAGGAACACTTTTCCCCGTCTCTCTTTCCTCCTTTCTCTCTGTCTGTTTGTCTCTCTGTTCCCTCTGTCTCTCTTTCCCTCTTTCTTTTCTCCTGTTAGTTGATTGGTAGATTGCTTTCTGGGTATAATAAGTTGTTATACTGATAAACAGAACTAATAAGTTCAGATTTTATAATCCTAGAATACAGTACAACTCCATTGCAATAGTAGATGAGATCCATAAAACCCCAGGCAGCATTCTAAACAGGACACAATCACAGCTCAGCACTTCTGTGTTCACTGCGCGCGTGCAGATAACCGAGTCTTCCACAGCTATATTCTATGAAGTGCTTTGAGATGTCTCAATAGTGTGATAAGGGGCTATATCAAATGAAGGAATTATCATTATTATTATTTTAACCCCCACCCAACACACACACACTTCAAAATAAACTCTAACTTGCAATCTGCAAGGACTTGCATTTTATCAATGCAAACCAACGTACTGATCAAGAAAGTTGTCCTGTATGCATTTTAGGAATATTTCCCCCTCCTTGCCCTTTGCGCTGTTGTTTTGCCAGTCTATGTTGGGATAATTAAAGTCGCCCGTTATTCTGTTGACCTTCATCTGTCTGAGATCTGCTTGCAGATCTGCTCATCTATTTCCTTCCCACTGTTTGGTGGTCTATAGTATACCCCTACCAGCATAACAGCTCCTTTTTTGTTCCTCAACTCTAACCAGATAGATTCCGTTTTGGGGCCCTCCAGCACCTTGACCCTTTCCACAGCGATAACCGTATCTTTGACTAACATTGCTACAACCCCTCCTTTTTTCCTTCCCTATCCCTCCTGAATATATTATAGCCAGGAATATTCAGCTCCCATTCCTGTCCTTGCTTGAGCCAAGTCTCTGTTACTGCTACTACATCTTATCCCCCTATGACCACTTGAGCCTGCAGCTCACCAATCTTGTTTGCTTAACTCCGTGCATTCAGGCACATGCACTCCAAAACCAACTTGACCTGTTCTGCACTTCCCCCCTGTTTTATTTCTCCATTTTCTAGCTCTTCATTTTTTGCATTCCCTTCCCGCCTCAAAATTAGTTTAAACCCTCCCCAAGAGCATTAGTTAGCCTGTCTGCAAGGACATTTGCCCCAGCCCTGTTTAGGTGTAACCCATCCATATGTTACAGGTCCCACCTGCCCCAGAACTGGTCCCAATGATCCAGAAATCTTTATAAACAGTACAGTAAAATGCCTTGGTTGCAGCAACTTAATGATCCTGGAGTATATATTAACAACATAAGATTTCCTTACTTGTCTGTCGCTCTTTGTGTGCGCTATCAACCCAGTTTCAAACCAGAAGTCTGTGGTTATTTTTCAACTGTTAAGACCAGGCAGAAACTAATATGTGAGTCATTGGAGCAAAACACACTGGGGAACACAATGCAGCCTATCCGGTGGGTTTTGGTTAGTTAAGTTATTCAAATGAGAGGGAACTGTCTTTCAGGGGCCGGAGTACAGCTCAGAACTATGTTCAAACATCTCCTCATCTCTGAAACTACAAACAGATTTATTGATCTGCAATTCACTTAAAGATAAACCACCAGCAGTACGCTGGGCTGACAGTCTGGGCTATAAAGTTCTCAACGTGCTTCGCGGGATTCACTGTAAAGTGCAGTGACTGTCATTTGTAAGAACGCAAAAGGCAAGTTTCGCACAGCAACGTCCCACAAATGGTCAATTTTATCTGGAAGATTGTTGGCCAGAAATCGAGAGACACTCCTTTTGCTTTTCAAATAATGCCATGACTTTATCTATATAAGGCAAACGGGATGTGGGGCTACAATGCTAAATCTTATAGAGGGGATCTTATAGAGGTGTATAAAATGTTAAGTGTGATTGAAAATCACCTCATGTGATCTGTACCAGTCATGTTTCTCCTTTTGGCCGTAACACTCCAGTTGTACTTTCACTTCCTCTTGGCTGGGTGAGCACGTCTGCCGCAGGTTGACTTCTGCAGGTGAAAAGCTTCCTCCTTGGGTGGGGGGTGGTGGCAAAGTCAACCTGCACATACAACTGAACTGGCCCCAAGGTGATATTTCTGGCAGTGGAATGTCAGAATGTAGCCAGCCCTCAGTGGCAGTCTCGGTAAACCGATTCCTGAACCAGGTGGGTCTGCAGTATTCCAGGGCACTGCTGATGACAGGACAGCTAGCCTGGCTCATCTGCAAGACCTGGAAGGGCAGACCAGTCACTGGGGGCAGGGAGTCATCCCACTCAGATCCTGAGTTAACCCTACAAGCCAAAGCCCTAATGGGTAGGGCAGTCCCAACAACAACAACAACAACAAGATTTCATTTATAGAGTGCCTTTCACGTCAGGAGGACGTCCCAAGGCGCTGGACAGTTGGGTCGGGACCCGAGCAGGGGGGAAATGGTCAGGGTGAGGGGAGGGAAAGAAGGGAGTGAGGAGGGGATAGAGAGTCGAGAGGGGAGCTGAAGGCACGGTCGAAGAGAAAGGTCTTGAGACCGGCCTTGAAGTAGGAAAGGGAGGAAGCAAGGCAAAGGCACTGGGGGATGGAGTTCCAGAGCTTAGGGGCGGAGAGGCTGAAGGCCCGGCCACCGATGGTAGGGCGGGGGATGTGGAGCAGACCGGAGCCAGAGGAACGGAGGGTACGGGCAGGTAAGTAGGGGGATACCTGCTAGACAAGCAGCAGGAAACCTTGCTGGACAGCAGTATCAATGACAAGCTATGCGGTTTTAGACTCGTTAGACTCCAACCCTGAGGTCCCCAAGCCTTGGTTCTTGCCAATCTGTACCTAATACTGTCTGGAATTAGGAAAGCAGGATGCCAGGGAGAGAGTGTGCATTCCATTCCAACAATCTATCTCTGGGGTTTCCATGTGTAGGTGGGATACGTGGAATTCTCAGCTTAGTTTGGATACTCTTAAGCAGGGGGATGGGTTTCCACATATGTCAGGCTGACCCCCTCCCCCACCCTGAAAAAGTTAAAAGTTTGGCCCTGCACCAGTGGTAGAGAGTGTGCATCCTGTTCCGCTGTTTACCAAATAACGACATTCCCTTTGTTATTTTCACAGAGCGCCAGAGAGCAAATAATGATAATTAGGGTACAGACTAAATGATTCTCCTGATTAAACTTGTTAAACACTTTGAGACACTATCCCGGGTGAAGGGAGGTATTATAAATGTAAGTTGTTATGGTTTTATTGGGTCAGTCAAAGTCAAGTTGCACATACAACATATGGCAGAGGTACTATGCTATCCTCAACTGTCCTTTCTACCCCATATTCATGCCATGATACACTCTGCCTTCCCCACCTCTGCAACATCACTCGACTCCACACTGCCCCGCCCATCAAGCCGCCGAAACCCTCGTCCATGCATTCATCAAATCTAGGCTTGACTAAACCACTCCCTGGTTGTCACCCTTCCCAACTCTTTCCTCCACAAGCTGCAGATCATGCAGAACTCTGCAGTTCATTTCCTCTCCCGCACTAGGCTCCATGACCCCATCATCCCCACCCTTGCCTGGCTCCACTGGCTCCCCATCCCCCAGAGGATAGAGTTCAAAATTCTCGTCCTCACCTTCAAAGCCCTCCACGGTCTTGCTCCTTCCTACCTCTGCAACCTGCTGACCCCATATCAACCTGTCCACTCCCTCCACTCAGCAGGCTCTGGCCTGCTCCATGTCCCCCGCCCAGCCCACCCCACCATCAGTGGTCAGGCCTTCAGTCTTTCTGCCCCACCCTTTGGAACTCCATTCCACATTCCCTTTGCCTTGCTTCTTCTCTTGCCTCCTTCAAGGCATGTCTCAATAGCCTCCTCTTTGACAGCACCTTCAGCCACCCTCCTACCCTCCATGCCCTCCCAGATCCCGACCCCCAGCTGGGGTCCAAATCCCTGTCTGTCCAGTGCCTTGGGACATCCTCCTGACATGAAAGGCGCTATACAAGTGTCATTTTGTATTGTATAGCTTTAAGGGAAGTACTGCAATAACCTCATGTTAACCTAGGTTTTATTGCCTGGATTTGACTAATGACAAATTTTGTAATGCTTTTAAATTTAATGATTTCTTATCAGTTAATGATAACTGTAAACCTGGAGCGATGCTTTCACTTACACAAAGGTCACATTCATAATAAATAAATAATTAAATGATTTGGTCACTTCAATCCACGATTGTTTGTAGGACACATCTGTGCTCAATTGACTGCTGGGTTTCACCCTCTAAATATACAATCAATCCACTTTACATTCTGTGAAACGCTTTGAGACGTTTCGATGATGTGATAAGGCGCTATATCAAATGCAGTGATTATTATTATTAAATCAAAGTTCCATTACACTATGTGAAAAGAGAAGGGAGTTTATCTCTCCAAGTTTCCTTGCCAACAATCCCCCAAATAAAATTGGTCACTCACTCTGCTGTTCGTGGGACATTGCTCTGCGCAATTTGTTGGCTGTGTTTGCCTGCAGATTCACAGTTACTGCAGTTTACAGTAAATCCTGTAAAGTTCTTTGAGACATACTCCTGACATGAAAATTGCTGTACAAAATGTAAGAAGGATTGTTATTAAAGGAGAAAAGTCAAGGAAATGGAGGAAATGGGATTAAAGAAACTAAAGATCTGCCATGATCTAATAACAGAGTGAAACAGGCCCATGGACTGAACCGCCTCGTCCATTATATGTTCCTTTATGGCCAGGAGACATGGAATTGATATGTTGGATGTAAACCCCATCAGGATAGTCCCTTTGGCATTAGAACCACTCATCTGTGCGCGGAAGCAAAGCCACCCTAGCTGTGTGGCTCATATTCACCCCACGATTCAACAAAAATTGGTTATAATTTTATGAAAGTGGAGTTTTGTTTCAAGATGTGTAAGAGAATAATCTCATCACCATCTCTCTCCTGTGTGTTCCCTCACACCCAACTACATCACCTGCGGTGTGCAGCCCACAGAATTGAAGGAACAGTATTGAGCTTTGTTGTGGCTAATTGTGCTGGCGATTCTGAATGACCGCAGGAGGACATCGATAGCAGGCTGGGCAGCACAGTGATAGATCCAGTTCAATATCACAAAGGAAATATGACTGAAAATCTTAGATGGAGTTTAACATTTCATCTGAAGGACGGCATTTCTGACAGGGCAGCAACCCCAAGCACTGGACTGGAGTGTCAGCATAGTGTGAGCAGGGAACTGGGATTAGAATGGATGGCATCTTGGAGGAGAAAACATTAGCACAAAAAAAGGCAAATGTCATATTGTGTCATACATGGTTTATGGTTTATATAATAAATGATAATCCTTGCACTTGTTATCACGCCTTTTCACATCGTCGAGCCATCTCAATGGCCTTCACAAGAATTTACTGTGACATGTAGTAACTGTGTGTTTGTGTATAGAAATGCAGTAGTTCTGAAGTTATCAGCCCTGAACATAGCGAATTGGGTTGATGCTTTGAGATCCTCTGATTCTCCTCCAAGGTGGAGAAAAAGGGCACCAGAGTGCTGCCAGCCACCAGGAAAATATTAATACTGTAATAATAATAATCCTTAAATTTGATATAGCACATGGCATCTCAAAGCACTTCACAGGTTATACTGTGAAATGGAGTGACTGTGTATTTGTAGGCAAAAATAGCAGCACAATTGCACACAGCAACAAACAGCCATGAAATGAATTACTGATTTTATTCAGGGGATTTGTTGGCCAGGACAGCGGGAGAGAGAAACTCCTTCCTCATTGGGCCGAAAACATACTAATCCAGAAAATTATCCTGTACATATTTCAGGAATCCTTCCCCCTCCTTGCCCTTTACGCGGTTATTTTGCCAGTCTATGTTAGAATAATTGTAGTCCCCTGGCCACAAAATATACAGTCAATTCACTTTGAAATATATTTTGTGAGGACTTTTGAGATATCTTGAAGATGTGATAAGGTGCTATATTAAATGCAAGGATTATTATTATTATGGGGTCTTTAACGTCCACCTGAGCAGGCAGACGAGACCTCGGTTTAATGTCTCACCCAAAGGATAGCACCTCCGGCAATGCAACCTCCACACCTCCCACCACTACATTGGAGTGTCAGCTTGGACTATATGAGTTCAAGTCATGGGTGGGGCTTGAACCCCAAACCTTCTGACTCGGAGGCAAGAGTGCTACCACTGAGCCAGGCTGACACACATCAAAATAATATGTTTTACACATTGAAATGTTACCAGTTTAATTCAGTATTTGATTTATCTGCTCCACATGTTCACCTGTGCGTAACCCAATTAAATCTTACCTGTCTGCTCACCTCCCTGTCCATGTCCCCTTGTTGTTGGTGTGTGTGCCCAACACCGATAGCCTTTAACACTTCATT